CACGCCCACGCACACGCACACGCACACGCACACGCACACGCACACGCACACGCACACGCACACGCACACGCACACGCACACGCACACGCACACGCACACGCACACGCACACGCACACGCACACGCACACGCACACGCACACGCACACACGCACACGCGCACACGCGCACACGCGCACACGCGCACACGCGCACACGCGCACACGCGCACGCGCGCGCAAGACAAACACACAGACCCAGACACAGACACAGACTCAGACGCAAACGCAGACGCAGAAAAACACAAGCCCTGCGCAGGCGCAGACACAGGCACAGACACCCACGCACAGACACACAGACACACAGACACACACCCAGACACCCAGACACACAGCGGCACGTCGGGCATCAATATGCCACCCGCATCAGCGCCGAATCTGGGCCTCGCTCTCGCACGTGCAGTTGGGATGAGTGTGACCTGCGGCAGTGGATGGATGGATGGATGGATGGATGGATGGATGGATGGATGGATGGATGGATGGATGAATCAACAACGCACGCACGAATGAATCATTCAGGAACGGCTTTAAAGTTGATATATATATATATATACAGGACATGAAAGAGGGAACGCGTGACTGAATGAATTAATGACTGAGTGACTGCGTTCACAACTTTGTTTCAGAGGCACCAATCACTTCACCGCGCGGCACCGCACTGCGCGGCACACACACACACACACTCGCACACACACGCGCACGCCCGCATGCCCACGCACACGCGCGCAGACACGCAGACACACACACACACTCAGACACACACACACACACACGGACACGGACACGGACACGGACACGCACACGCACAGGCACACACGCGCGCCCAGACCCATGCGCGCGCACGCGCGCGCGCACGCCCACAAAACATCCTCACGAACCCACATGCGCCCACTGACATGCACACACCGACCACCTGCCACCCCAGACGCACCCACAAACCCAAGCAGGCAGCCAGTCACCTACCCGTGGTTGCTCGCTGGCTTCATGGCTTGAGTGTTTGCGTGTGTTTTCGTTGACTTTGTTGCTTGTCAGTTTTTGCGCTTGATGTTCGTTGTTTCAATGTGCGCGTGCTTGTGTTGCTGCGTGTTTGTGTTGGTTTTGTGCGTGTTTGGCTTTATGCTTGCCAGAGCGCCAACTGGTGGATCAAACGGGGATGCTGAGACGCGCAAGCTTCGAATTCTTGCAATCTTGGTTAGCTTACGCGTGTGGTGTTTGCATATCTGCGCATTGGCATGTGTGGGTTTCTGGGTGTTTTGTGTTTCCACGTTTTTGTATAAGCAGGCCACGACGGTTCTGATTTGACAGGCAAACAGCCTGGTGGCGGACGGCTTTAGCTACAGCGCCGTGATCCACACATGTGGGTTGGCAGGACTTTGGCTGCAGGCAGGCCGCCCTGGTCCTGCGCGACAAATCTGTGGTTGATGACATGGTGGCAGCGCGCAGTGACCTTGGAATCCACGAAGCCTGAAGCAGCCCGCAGGCCTGTGCACTGGCAGCCGTTTGCCCCCGCGACGGGGTGGTGCGGAACTCAGCGCTGGAGGCCTGTGCCAAAGGCAGCCAATGGCGCGCTGCCTCGCAGCTGCAGCTTGGAAGCGAGAAGCCACCAAGCTTTGTCAAGGGAGGCAGGTGGCGGTTTGCGATTTTGTTTGGGGGGGTCCATGTGGCTGCGCGAATGAGCCATGCAAACTTTGTCTAAGAAGGCGACATTTGACAGAAAGATGCGCCCGAGGGGGTTTGCACTGGCTGGGAATATTGGTATGACACTAAAGCGAACACAGAGACACCAGCTTTCACACAGAAAAACTATGCTCGCTGAACCTGCGTGTTCGTTCATGTATTCGGCCACTGCCGCAGATCTTACAGGTTCATTTAGACATTCACATCCATGCATTCATGCATTCAACCATGCATTCCTTCCTTCCTTCATTCACTCATTGGTTTATTTGTTCAATCATTCGTTTGTTCGTTTGTTCATTCGTTCATTCATTCGTGCGTTCATTCACTCACTCATTCATTCACTCACTCATTCATTCACTTATTCATTCATTCAGTTCATTCATTCATTCATTCATTCATTCATTCATTCATTAATTCATTCATTTATTAATTAATTAATTAATTAATTCACACATTCATACATTCATACATTCATACACACATTCACACATTCACACATTCATTCATACATTTATACATTCTTACATTCATTCATTCATACATTCATACATTCATACATCCAAACATTCATACATACATTCATTCATTCATTCATTCATCCACTCATTCATTCATTCATTCATTCATTTCATTTCATTTCATGTCATGTCATTTCATTTCATTTCATTTCATTTCATTTCATTTCATTCATTCACTCATTCATTCATTCACTCATTCATTCATTCATTCATTCATTCATTCATTCAGTCATTAGTTCATTCATACATTCATACATTCATACATTCATACATTCATACATTCATACATTCATACATTCACACATTCATACATTCATACATTCATACATTCGTACACACATTCATACATCCAAACATTCATACATTCATTCATTCATTCATTCATTCAGTCAGTCAGTCAGTCATTAGGTCATTCATTCATTCATGCATTCATTCATCCATTCATTCATTCATTCATTCATTCATTCATTCATTCATTATTCACTCATTCACTCATTCATTCATTAGTTCATTCATTCATTCATTCATTCAGTCAGTCAGTCAGTCAGTCAGTCAGTCAGTCAGTCATTCAGTCATTAGTTCGTTCTTTCATTCATACATTCATTCATTCATTCATTCATTCATTCATTCAGTCATTAGTTCATTCATTCATTCATGCATTCACTCATTCATACATTCATTCATTAATTCATTCATTCATTCATTCATTCATTCATTGATTCATTCATTCATTCATACATTCATACATTCATACATTCATACATTCATACATTCATACATTCATACATTCATACATTCATACATTCATACATCCATCCATCCATTCATTCATTCATTCATTCATTCATTCATTCATTCATTCATTCATTCATTCATTCATTCATTCATTTCATGTCATGTCATTTCATTTCATTTTATTCATTCACTCATTCATTCATTCATTCATTCATTCATTCATTCATTCATTCATTCATTCATTCATTCATTCATTTCAGTCATTTCATTCATTCATTCATTCATCGATTCATTCATTCACTCATTCACACATTCATTCATTCATTCATTCATTCATACATACATACATTCAATCATTCATACATTCATACATTCATACATTCATACATTCATACATTCATTCATACATTCATTCATTCATTCATTCATTCATTCATTCATTCATTCATTCATTCATTCATTCACACATTCATTCATTCATTCATTCATTCATTCATTCATTCATTCATTCATTCATTCATTCATTCATTCATTCATTCATTCATTCATTCATTCATTCATTCATTATTTCTTTCTTTCTTTCTTTCTTTCTTTCATTTCATTTCATTTCATTTCATTTCATTTCATTTCATTTCATTTCATTTCATTTCATTTCATTCATTCATTTATTTGTTTCTTCCTTCCTTCCATGTATGCATTAAGTATGTATTCATGTCCTTCATTCATTTCATTCATTCGTTCATTCATTCATTCAGTCAGTCAGTCAGATGGTTGGTCAGTCAGTTGTTTATTCATCCTTTAATTCATTCATTCCCCCCATGCCATTTATTCGATTCATTCCTTTGTTTTATTAAATAACTCGTTTGTTTGTTTGTTCGTTGGTCTGCTTTCCATTTAGTTCATGATTTGTTCAGCTAGTCGTTCGTTCGCTGGCTAGTTGCTTCGTGTCTTGTTGTTTCTGTGTTGCCTCCTTTCTACTTTTCTTAGTTGATTCAGTTCTTCTTTCTTGTTTTCTTCTGGTGTTTGTTTATTTTTGTGTATTTGTGTTTCTGTTTTTTCGTTTCTTTCTTTCTTCCTTTTCCCGAAAGCATTGCGAAGGGTTCTTCCGTGCGGAGCTCTTGGTCAACTTGCGCAGAGTAGCTTGCACAGAGTCACCAGCATGGAGATATCAGGAGCTCTTGGTCAACTTGCGCAGAGTAGCTTGCACAGAGTTACCAGAATGGAGATACTTGCACAGAGTCACCAGCATGGAGATACTTGCACAGAGTCACCAGCATGGAGTCACCAGCATAGAGTTACTTGCGCAGAGCCAAGTGCAAAGAGCCAAGCGCGTAGAGCCAAGTGCCCAGAGCGAAGTGCACAGAGCTAAGTGCACAGAGCCAAGTGCAAAGAGCGAAGTGCATAGAGCTAGGTGCATAGAGCTAAGCTAAGCTAGGTGTAGGGGCTCGGCGGTAGCAGCTGTGTAAGCTCGGTTAAGTAAGCTAGGTTAAGTACTTAGCGCGCGGGAAAGAAAGATTCAGAGCTCGGTATTAAGAATCTCTTTTAAGGCGGGGGGTGGGCGTGCTGCCGACGATCGGGAATGCGACCCTCTGCGGAGATCGGCGTGGTCGAGGTGCAAAAACTCGAGGTTTAATTGCGTTTTTTGATATGCCCGCGCGACCCTCTGCGGAGATCGAGGTGCAAAAACGAGGGTTTTTTGGCGTTTTTTGCGGTGCCCGCGCGACCCTCTGCGGAGATCGGCGTGGTCGAGGTACAAAAACTCAAGTTTTTTGTGCTTTTTTTGCGGTGCCCGCGCGACCCTCTTCGGAGATCGGCGTGGTCGAGGTGCAAACACTCGAGGTTTTTTGCGCTTTTTGCGGTGCCCGCGCGACCCTCTGCGGAGATCGTGCGTGTCGAAGCGCTCTCGCTGTGGCGCCGTGCGATTTTGTTGCTCGCGAAATGGCCTTTGGAAGTTGTCTCGTGGTTTGCGCGCCTGCTTTCGCAATCCCGCGGTCGCGGGTTCTATTTCTCCCTGGTCCGCGGCAGCTCCGGCTTGAAAATCGCAGCTTTTAAGTACAAACGTAGTACGCGGAGCGTGCTCCTGCAGCTCCGGCTGGAAAATCGCAACTTTTAGGCACAGTAGTATGCGGAGCGTGCTCCCGCAGCTCCGGCTGGAAAATTGCAACTTTTAAGTACAAACGTAGTACGCGGAGCACACTCCCGCAGCTCCGGCTGGAAAATCGCAACTGTTAAGTACAAAAATAGTACGCGAAGTACATTCCCACAGCTCCGGCAGCACTTGCGCAGAGCAACTTGCGCAGAGTCACTTGCGCAGAGCAACTTGCGCAGAGCAACTTGCACAGAGCACTTGCACAAAGCACTTGCGCAGAGCAACTTGCACAGACCAACTTGCACAGAGCACATGCGCAAAGCGCTTGCACGGAGGGACTGGCGCAGAGCGCTTGCGCAGAGCAACCTGCTCAGAGCACTTGCGCAGAGCAACTTGCACAGAGCACTTGCGTGCAGCAGCTTGCAGATAGCAACTTGCGCGCAGCAGCCTGGAACAATGCAGCTTGCGCAGACCACTTTTGTGAGAAATCGCGCGGCGCAGTTCGTGCAAAGCACATTGCGCCGAGCAGACTCGTGCAGAACCAACTTACACGAACCAGTTGCGCAGAGCCACTCGCGAAAAGTAGCTTGCGTAGAGCCAACTTTCACAGAGCCAAGCTGCGCAGAGCCATCTTGCACAGAGCTAAGTTGCGCGAGCGTGCTTTGCAGAAACTGTGGCCGTCGTGTAAGCTTTGCTATTGATTGCTTTTCCTTTTGCTTGTAATTCGTTTCGAGCTTTACGAGCTTTACACTTCTTGTTTTAACGGATGTAAATATGTGGGATCGAGCACTGCCATGTTTCCTCTCGTAGGACGATGAGATGGAGCTCTCATGTGACCATACACATTGAGCACCGCGTGCCCTGTGCAGACACACTCGCCGCAGTGATGCAGTATGGAACTCCCGACTTGGGCTCGGGCCTCTGGCTGGCGTGAGCAGGCTGGCCTTGGCGTGTCCATGAATGGAGCCTCATCTTGCCAGTGTCTAAGCGGACCCCTCCTGATGTGTTCCTGCCTGTAATTTTCACGCGCTACCGCGCCAAAACTTAACGCGGATTCGCCCACAGTGCCCGCAGCTGGATGTCCAGGTCCAGCTTGGCTTCGCAAGAGTTCGAGGCTCAAACTCTGCTTTGCTTTTTGAAACATTAGACAGGGGCTCTTAACAACTCCCCGAAAGATCCCTACAAAAGACTGTGTGTTTCTCAGGCGGGCGTGGGGTTTGCGTGACCATGTGTGCTTAACATGCGCGAGCAGGTGTGCTTACCATTTGGCAGGCATGCGCACAGCGCTGCCTGGAACGCACTTGCGCGGGTTCGCTTGCGGTGTGCTCGTTCCGGCGACGTGCAGAAGAGAGCCACGAGCGAATTACGCAAAACGCGGAAAAGCATCGATGCGCATAGATGCCTGCGTAGGGAAAGCACGCAGCGAAACGCATAGAGGCATGCGCGTGGAAAGTAGACAGTAAAATGCATGGAGGCATGCGTAGGGAAGTAAAGAGTGAAATGCAGAGAGGCACGCGCAGAGTAGACAATGAAATGCATAGAAGCATGCGTGATGTATAGGGCAAGTACAGAGTAAAATGCATAGAGGCATGCGTGGGGGGTGCGCACAGTGAAATGCATAGAGGCATCACAGGGAAAGTAGACAGTGTGATGCAAAGAAACATGTGCAGGAAAAGTAGACAGTAAAACACATAAAAACATGCATAGGGCAAGCGTAGAGTGAAATGCATAGATGCATGCACAGGGAAAGTAGATAATAAAGCGAATAGAGGCATGCGCAGGGAAAGTAGACAATGAAATGCATACAGGCACGCGCATGGAAAGTAGACAGTAAAATGTATGGAGGCACGCGTAGGGAAAGTAGACAGTCACATGCGTAGGGCAAGTACAGGGTGAAGCGCATAGATGCGCACACAGGGAAAATAGGACAGTTAGCGGCGTAGAGGCATGCGCAGAATTGACAGTTCAACACATAGCAGCGTGTGCAGGGCAGAGTGAGGCGCATAGAGGCGCTGCCACGAAGCCGGAGCTTGACCGCCACGAAATCTGCACGCAGACCGCGCAGCCTCTACCTGTGACCTTGCGAAGCTGCTGTGCCTGCCACGTAATCTACACGTGACAGTACGAAAGTGCCTCGGCCGTCACGATATCTGTGCCTGACCTAGCGAAGGTGTTACGCCACGCCCACCATGCAAAGTACTTCTGCGAGAAGTGCGCTGGTTTGTGCCAATCGTCCAGGAGAGCGCTCCAAGAGTGCTCCGAACGAGGCGCCGCGACCAGGCTAACTTTCCTGCGTCTCCAAACACCGAAACACGCGGCGGGTAGCAGTCTTTTGGCAGATCTTTTTTTTCCCCGCCACAAGCCGCACACGCACGATTTTTCCGCGGGCGCTTACCCTTCTCTTGCCACCTGTCTCAGAGAACAAGTTTTAAACTAGTTGCCGTACCACGGAAGTTCCATCTAAACATCTTTCGTTTGTCTGTCTTTTCGTTTGGTCTGTCGGTTTGTTTGTGCGTGTGTGTGTGTGTGCGCGGGTCTGTTTGTATGTGTGTCTGCTTGTCTGCCGCTCTGCCTGTTTGTCTGTCTTTCTGTTTTTTGTTTGTTAGCTCGCTTGTTTCTGTGTTGCTTTGCTTGTTTGCTTGTGTGTTTATGTGTTTAGTGGTTCCTTTGCTGTGTTTGTTTTTGTTGTGTTATGTTCTTTTTGAGGTTCCTGGGCCAGCCGGAGCGGCCGTCCAGGGGCAGGTTCGTGGGCCTTTTCAAGGCCGGCGACCGAGCCCATATTATCTTGGGCCCGAGCAAGCGTTTGGTGGTTGCGAGCGAGAGTTGCTGTGGAAGCGTGCAAGTTTATTGGAGGAAGCCGTTTGTACGGAATCCTGGCATAAAGTTTAACGTTCGCTGAGCAACCCTCTCACAAGGCCCTGTCTGGCGCGCGGCAGTGGGCCCGGGCCTTGTGCCTCCTACAGGCCGGACCTCCGCCATTTATGGCAAGGGCAGGTTGCGACACATGATTGCTAAAGGTACCCTGCCATGTCGAAAACCGAGTTGGGCCCTCCCAGTTGCCCGTAGCGGGCTTCACACGGCCAAATCACAACAATGCATTCGAGGTTGACCACCAGGCAATCCGCAAGGGACAGATAAGCTTTGATGCCGTGTGAGCCCAGGTTTGTTTGATGGATGTGCCAACCCAGCACTCGTTGTTTGGGAAACAGAGTGACTCACTGCTCGCAATCCTGTAGGCGTTGTGGCTTTAGTCGTTGCGTGTCATTCCATGATGTACGAGGCAGACGACAAGCTTCTGTGGCCCGTGTAGGAAACGGTTCCGGTAGGATTCATCAGCCATTGTGTAGGTCTGTCATGCCCTTAAGCGTGGATGATACCTTTTGAAACCTCCACCTCCGGTGTCTGTCAACAAGTTGCAAGCGCTTGCTTGTTTCCAGGCGCTTTTTGGGTCGAGTGCAAACTGATTAGTGATCCCCGCTCCACCTTCCAGCTGGCATCGCTAGGCCTGAGCATGTGTCCAAGAGCCAAGAGTTGGTCTTGCGCCGTTGTTCATGTGTTCAGCAGCTGCATACTTGCGCAACCAGTTGGGCCGGTTTGTGTTTGAACCTAGTCTGGTGGTGCAACCTATGGGGGGCTGGGGCTCGAACAGGGTTGCAATGGACTCTTTCAAAGTCGTCTGCCGGCCCGCCGGTCCGATGATCCGACGGGTCGCTGATCCGCTGGTCCGCTGGTCCGACGCCAATGCTCCGATGGCCTGCTGGCCCGCTCGCTGTTTGGTCCATCCATCCAGTGATCCAATGATCCGCTGTCCGGTGATCCGATGATCCAATGCGATGATCCGATGGCCCGCTGGTCCGATGTTCGCTGATCTGCCGCGGTCCCTTTCTGGCCCACTGGTCTGGCGCAGCGCCTCAGCAGCAGGTTGGTAAGGACCGGAGCGCGCAACAGCTCTCTACATGCTGGCTTTTACAGCTTTGGCGGCAACCCAAACTACCACTGAAGACTTTGCAGACGCAAGGGGCCTTTTCACGCAGTGTCCGTCGTAGGCCATCCTGTAGGAAGAACAGAAAGCCGAAGCGCCTCATATAGGTTTGGTGGTGGTAGGCCGAACGCTACGTGAATGTGAAGTCGCACACAGAAGTTCTGATTTCTTTCAGACGCTCTGCGTGCCCGGGCAAATCGGGATGGCAAGTCTCCGGCCAAAACAAGTCAGTGTGATTGCTCATGCGGGACGGGTATGGAGGCGGCAGCCTCTTCAAACAGTGCTTGAAGAGGTGGCAGCTGTCATCATGAATCAAGAGGACAGCCGGCGCGGCTGACTTAGGCGGAGCCAGGCAAAATATTTTAAGCCAAGGACTCGCTACCATAGATCTCCTGCATGAGCGCGATGACTCCGGATGAGAGGCAGACACGCAGGATGCCAGCAGTTTTCGCCAGCGTCACGTCGGGCCCACTTTCCTTGCGCTACCGCAAGGGACTGCCTGCAAGTCTTCGGGGGCAGAGTCTGAAAGGACTAAAGTTGGCAGGACGCTTCTTTCGTGGCCTTTGCCGTGCCTGCCCAGCCTGGTTGAAATACGCATCTCGCAAAGCCTTGCTCACGGAACCTTCGGAGACCGAGGCAGATCTTCCTTCGCCGCCTCGAAGCTCTATGCGACTGTTGCCTTGCACGGTGGCTGACCACTTCAATGTCCTCCAGGGCGGCGCCGGAATTTGGAGCTAGTCGGTTGAAAATCAGGGCTGGGCCAGGATCAGTTAACATTCTCAAACAAAAGACCTGTTCGCGGGTTTGGGACGCCGTGCATCAGCGCAACCTTGAAGCAAAATTGCGGCACTCGCGCGAGAGTTTTCTTCCTCTGCGCAGAAAACAGAATTCGCCTATGTTCACAACTCGACACTCCTCTTTCGCCGCTTTGCAGCCGAGGGCTTGGCAGCAGCCTCCTTCTTTTTCTCAACAGCTACCTTTATGGCATCAACAAGCTCGCGTAGCGTGAGGTCACATAACGCCCTCAACTGGTTGTTGTCCTGAGCAGGGAGGGTGGCATCGTCTGGGATCTTGTCCGCGTGCAACTCGTCGCCGCTCAGATGGAGAAAGCGGGCGCTCCTCGCAAGCACTGGTCATCGCAGTCATCCAAACTCCTTGTAGACAAAAACTGTCACTGCGCACACTTTAGGGCCCATCAGCAAAGACCATGTTCCAGCGCGATGTCGCAAGAAGAGTTGTCGCAAGCGCAGCAGGGTTGAGTCGGGCAAGCGTGTTTTCATCGGCTGCCCGACTGAACTCCGATGTTGATGATCACTTCGTCGTTTGGCTTCTCCACGGCTTGGCTCCATTCCCGACTGGTGCGGCGTCGCGCGGGTTTCGTGTGCGAGAGCGATGTGGTTCGGGGGCAGGCGCGCGAACGCGGGCAAGAAGACCTTCTGCCAACTGCAAGACTCCGTCTCTTGATCGGCAAGGGCTGGTTCAAATGGCGCTTCTTGCGCAGGACCTACGCTGTCAAGCTTGTGCTGCTGCTTTGCCCTCCATCGACTTGCGCAAGAACATGGAAGAGCTTCCGGAGCCAGTGTTGCCAGCCTTCCAAGCAGCGTTCACAGTGGAGGCGCTGACAAGTTCACAGTGGAGGCGCTGACAAGGCGCGCGCGGCGGGCATGCGTTGCGACGTTCTCGTGATGGATGGGGTTGCCAAGAACAGAAGGGCGGCTTTCACTACAAATTGTGGGACCCTCCGCGCTTACTCACCCAGTTCGGGAACCAGTTGTGTCAAAATTGGGCTGCGCGGGCGGCGCAGCATGAGTTCCTGAACACTCAGCGTGCTCGCGTTGATGTGTCCCCTCACCAATGGAGCTTGCTCATGGGAGCAGAGCAGGCGCGGCGTACGAGCAGTGGTAGGCAAAGGCAGTAAAACTTGTACTGTTGACGTGCGCTGTTCATGTTTGTGGCTGAAGGGCACTGTGTTGTCGGCTGCGATCGCCAGCAACTCCTGAAAGGAGGTTCCACCGGTGTGCTACTGACTTCAAGCAGGTGAAGTTGAAGAGTTCTGGCCATCTTCCTGGGTGACCCAAGCTTGTGGCAGAAGGCAATGGTTTGGTGTTCTGGGAAACCTTGATGAGACGTACGACTAACTCTTGCAGTTTGGATCTGCAGCCCGGGCCGCCGTGCCGCCACAAAGGAGAGGGGCTTTGGAGAGAGAAGTTCGACGCAGCCGCACGAAGATCTTCCAGAAGATTATCCACTACCTTCAGGTGCGGCCGGCAGCGCCTCTTTCGAGCGAGCGAAGCTTCCCCTTCGTTTCTCGATCATTTAAATGTTTGAACAACCCGCTTTGCCTGCTTGCCTTGTGCAGGTGTTCCTTCAAGTTGACATGTGTCACCAGAACTCCAACCCGCCGGATCGGGATGGGCGAGCCCCGCTTGTACTTCCGCACCTCGTTGGACTCAGGATGTTGCAGGCCTCCTGGCTCACACTCGACTTCATCGGATCCTCCGCGGTCGGTGAACTTGCTCTTGAGCTCGGCGTCCAACTTGTTCAGCTTGAACTTCTTTCTGCTCTTCTTTGCCTTTGACGGCATTTGCGCTCAAGGCGCATCTCACGGCGGTCATCAAACGTGTTCCTCTCCTCGCCGAACAGGAACATCGCCTCGTCGATGCCCAGCTCTTCAAACTCTCTCCTCTTCGCCCAGCGCTTGGCCTTGGCTCTCCGCTTGCAGCTCGCTCAGTGCCAAGATAATCATCTTGGAGAAACGGGGATGCGAACAACCGTCTCTTGGTACGACACTGCTGCTTGCCGTGCTCCTCGCTTTCTTGTCTCTCTTCTCCCCGGTCTTCTTATCGAAGAAGCTGCCATTTCGGACCATCTTCTTCCAGTCTCTCTCCGGTCTTGCGGGCTGTTCCCCAAACCAACTGGGCAATTGAGAGGGTCTGAAACTCCTCAGTCTCCTCTGCTGCCGCTTTCTCGCCACCTATTTCTTCAACAGCTCCTCAAACCTCTGATCCCTGTTGCGGCTGCTGCTGCATCTCCTCACGCTGCCTTTTCTTCATCCTTCTCATGAAGTCCCTCTGTAGGGGGAACGGCTTTTGCACCAATGTAGGTTGCTCCTCGGGGCGCACGCGATTGGCTCCGTCCCCCCTTTTTAACGCCGCAGTCTTGCGGATGATCACTTCCTTCTCGATTCCGGCGAGCGCGTCAAAGATGAGCGCATCAAAGATGAGTTTGTAACCGTTCGGCTTCTGCTTCTTCTTCATCCTTGCCTTCGCCCTCCAGGCAAACATCACCCGGCTCTTGTGCTCCTTCATCGGCTTGGGCATGACGCCCCGAGAATTTACCGTTCAGGTTTTTCTCGGGATCGCACCCGCTCCGGGGCTGGGAGTCATTCTTTCCAGCACAGGTCGTGGCGGGCCGGCGGTCTTGCGGCCTCTTTTTTCAGTCGTATACGGCGCACCTGCGAGAGCTTTTGCAACTGCTATAGTTGCAGTTGCAGCAAGCTGGGCAAAATTTCTGCTATATATGTAGTTCCGGATTGACATGAGGGAAATGCGGACGACTCTATGGCCAAAATTGGTTCTATCTAACACCCTGGCATCGGCTTAGTCAGAGCGGTTCTCGACCAAACTTGCTGTTCCGAAAAGACACGTGCAGTTCCAACAACACGCACTCACGCACTGACACACTCCACGGGACAACATCGATCCAGGTGCTCTGGCGGGCCCCTGCCCTTGTCTTTGTGCCAAACGGCTCAAGGCGGCTTATGCGTCCTGGGCGTTCTTTCACACTTGGCAAGCGCTCAAAGCCATTGCCTTGGGCGAGGAAGGCGAAGCCCAGGCCCTAAGGCACCACAGCTGCCGCAGCCCCAAGCGCTTGATCAGTTGCGGGTCTTGAGCAGCCCCAGTGTGAACGCAGCAGTGAACAACCTAGTTGTGCAACACGCGCCGGCTTCTGTCTCTGAGTGCTGGAAGTGCTGTCATTGCTGTATTCATGTCCCACCGCCTTGCCGTGAGGCTGGTGGCAGTCCTCCCAAATTGGCAGTTGTTCTAGCCACCGACCTGTGGTCTGCTGGTCTGCTGGTCCGCTGATCCGCTGATCCGCTGGTCCGCTTCCAATACTTGATCCCATGAGGCCCAACAATCTGATGATCTGATGGTCCGCTGGTTCGATGATGCGTCCGCTGGACTGATCCAATGATCCGACGGCCCCCGGCCTGATGATTCTGAATTCGTGGTCCAATGATCCGATGATCCGCTGATCCGATGATCCGACGAGGTCCAGGCAGCCGGGTGGTCATGAGTGTCAAAGTCGCGCAGCTGCCGCAGTTGCACTACCATTCAAGGTTACAGCTTGAAACCAAGTTGCTCACTGCGTTCAGTTCCCTTCTGGTTTGCAGCGTGTTCCCCGCTGGAAACGATCAGCCCTTGCACAAAACGAATCTTTGTTTCATCTTCGCTGCTCAATTTGCTGAGCAAGCTGAGAAAGTGAATCGACAAACAAACTCAAGAAAGCCTCAAGCCACTTGCTGTTAATGCGCGAGGAAGCCGGAGAGGAGTTTGGCGACACGATTGCCTGGAACACTGAGACTTGGTAACTATGATAAAGAGCTATGGATGGGTGAATGGACGGATGGACAGATGGATGCATGGAAAGAGGGATGGATGGATGGATGGATGGGTGGGTGGGTGGGTGGATGGATGGATGGATGGATGGATGGATGGGTTGGATCAGAACGCACGCACGCGCGCACGCACGAGCGCGCGCGCACGCCCACCCGCCCGCGCCCGCGCGCTCACAAGCTCTCGTGCACGCACGCACGCACGCACGCACGCGCGTTCACGCACGCACGCGTGTGCACGCACGCACGGACGTGCACGCACGCGCGCATGTGGGTGCGCGAAGGAATAAGAGGATCCGACACAGGCGGCCGCGGCCGGATGGCGCGCTGACGCGATGCAGGCGGCCACTGAGCGCCCTGCCTTTCCCTTCGGTCTCTCAAAGACAGTTCCCATCAGTCCTTTCAGTTCCCTCCATTTGCAGCCCTTTCCGTCCTCAATTCCTTTTCAAGTCAGTTTCATGCTCTTCCTTGCATTTCCGACGGTTTCCTTGCGTTTAGCTTCCATTCATTTCGCTTCATTTCCGTTTAGCTCCTCCCGTCCCTTCATGCCCCTGCCTTTGCAGTCCTTTCTCTTTCTTCTCTTTAGTTCCCGTTCTTGCAGCCCCGCTTCACGTCAGTTTCCTGCACTTCCCTTCATTCTTGCTCCATTTCGTTCCCTTCATGTTCCTCCATGTCCCTGCATTTTCCTTTCATTTTCGTTTTCCTCTAGTGCATTCTCCATGTCCCTTCATTTCCATTAAGTTTTCTTCTGTGCACCCCTTTTCCCCTTAATTTCCATGCATTTTTGCATGGCCAGCGCATCATCCGCATCAGCTGGCAATGCTGGCGGTGCTGTCCAGTACCAGGCACCCCCCAAAAAACACTCGTTCCATCAATTTGGGTGGAGATGCTACAGAATTATTGAAAATTGCCCACACAACGCAAACCCTTCGCTCCTTGCCGGCAGGCACAGCGCAAGACGTGTGCTCATGGTCCTTGCACGGTCGGCGGCATGGCTTATACCTGAAGGTAGGTGTCTGTGCGGTCACGTCCGGTGGCCGACACAGTCGGCCGCCGGAACACCCACCCAGCCACCCATGTCACATCCATTTCGCATCGGTTTTCCCTTCATGCCCCTGCGCATTTTTCCATCCAGTGCATCACATATCCACACATTTTGCGTATGTTCCCCACCCATTTCCCTCCTTCCCCACATTCCATGATTGCCCATCCATTGTCCAGCAATGAAATTTTCAACAATTTTCCACCCTCATTTCTTTCATTTCACCCCAGAAATTTCCACCTGTTCCCATCTTTCTTTCATTTCCCGACACGTCCCTTTACCGGGGTGGAGAACATCCATCCCCCGCATCACCTGCATCATCCGCATCAATTTCTGCCATGGATGCGGATGATGCAGGAGATGCGGGGATGTTGTCCCCTATCAGCACCCCCCAAAGAGTGCTTGTTCTTTGACCCCAAGGATGCTACAAGAGTCGTCAAGAATTGCGTAAACAAATGCGCAAATCATGGCAGGCGTGGCAAAGTGCAAAAGTTCTGCGCTGCCGGCCGGATTTATACGCTGACGCGACACGGCAGGCCACCGGGCACACTGCCCTGGCCCTGTCTCTTCCAAAAACTGTTCCCTTCTTCACCTCCCTTGATTTGCAGTCCTTGCCTTAATTCCATTTAATTCCGGACAATTCAACTTCACTTTCGTATTTCGCTTCAGCTCCCTCATTTCCCTCACACCCCTTAATTTGCAATCCTTTCTCTTTAGTTCCAGTCATTCAACCTCACTTCCCAAGCTCAGTTTGCTGCACATCCCGTCGTTTCCTTTCATGCCCCTTCATTTCTGTATCAACAAATGTCAGAAGTGTGGCGTTCGTGTAGCGGTAGCGTGGCGTTAGTAAAGGCAGTGCGGCGGTAGTGCGGCGAAAGTGTGGTGGAAGTTAGTATGGCGGTAGTGTGTGTGTGGCGGCTGCGTGGCGGAAGTGTGGCAGTAGTGTGGCGGGAGTGTGGCGGAAGTCTGGCGGTAGTGTGGCGGCAGTGTGGCAACTGTGTGGCGGTAGTGTGGCGGTAGTGTAGCGCAAATGCGGCGCTAGTGTGGCGGAAGGGTGTGTGTGTGTGGCAGTAGTGCGGCGGTAGTGTGGCGGCAGTGTGGCGGCGAAGCGTGGCGGAAGCGTGGCGGCTGCGTAGCAGAAGTGTGGCGGCAGTGCGGCGGAAGTGTGGCGGTAGTGTGTGTGGCGGCTGCGTGGCGGAAGTGCGGCGGTAATGTGGCGCTAGCGTAGCGGAAGTCTGGCAGTAGTGTGGCGGTAGTGCGGCGGAGGTGTGACCGTTGCGTGGCGGTAGTGTCGCGGCTGCGTGGCGGAAGTGTGGCGAAAGTTAGTGCGGTGTAGCGGTAGTGTGGCGGAAGTGTGGCGGTAGGGTGGCGGCTGCTGGCAACTGTGTGGCGGTAGTGTGGTGGAAGTCTGGCAGTAGTGTGGCGGTAGTGTGGCGGCAGTGTGGCAACTGTGTGGCGGTAGTGTGGTGGAAGTGTGGCGGAGGTGTGGCGGCAGTGTGGCGGCTGCGTGGCGACAGTGTGGCAGAAGCGCGGCAGTGCTGTGGTGGTAGCACGGCTAATTCTTGACATGCTGGGCGACAGACACGCATGGTAGAGCCATTCTCCAAATTTATTTCTCATTAGTTCCCTTCATTTCCTTCTTTTCCACGAATTTCTTCCCTGCGTCTCCTGTTGTTTCAATTCCCTATCCTTTCCTGCCATTACTTTCATGTCCTTTCATGCCTTTTCAGTGTTCATTCAATTTCCTTCATGTCCCATATCTTCAATTCATGTCCCTTAATTTTTCCTTCAGCCCCCCATTTCGCATCGCCAGCATGCCCTGCATCATCCGCATTATCCGGGGTTCTGCCAGGCCCCAAGAAAGGCTCGTTTTTTGATTCCGTGGCAAGATGGCCCAAAATCGCTTAAACAAATCTGCAAATCCTTCGCCCCAGAACAGGCGCGGCGAAGCACAGCCTTATAGATGTGGTGAGTTTCAGTGTGGTGTTTAACAGAATCTTGCTGAAGCTCAGCGCCTCCTGAAGGAGCAAGCTGAGAAGCGTGCAGACAACGTAGCCAGAGTGTGGGCTGTCCAGTCTAGAAAAGTTGCTCAGATTGTTGTCCAGAATTTTTGCCAGCAAGAGGAGGGAATTTCGACCTGTGCGGGGAGAAGTCGAAGACATGAAATCTCCGCTCACAGCGTTACCTAGACCCATCGACACATCCGTTTCAGTTAACTTGCCAAGGATAAGATTAGGTCACACGATAGGCAGTGCGGTTTTTTGCTTTCTCAAGGACCCAAAACATCAGCTGCCGCCGGCCCCTCTTTTGGCTTAATTTTTAGGTTTGCCCATTAATGGCCGGAGGGATTTGATAGCAGGGGGGGAACAGAAGAGACAGCTTGATGCCCTGAGCACGTGCTTGGAGGGGAGTGAGTGAGCGTGGCTGTTGCGCAGAGATTGATCCGCGTACGCGTGTGCAGGGGGGGAGGTGGAGGGTGATGATGATGTTGGTGCGCTGGTTTTACACAGCCCCCGGCCCCGGGTGGCTGTACCTCCCGACCCCCCGGAACAACCCCGTAAAGTGAATTGCCGCAGCCAGTGTTTTTGAGTTGTTGCTGTGAAGGAGATGTTTTTTCTGTGTTTTCAGTGATGCCGTTTTATTTGCTATGTCGCCCGTTTTGCTGATCCTTGTCGGTCCTCCCAGGCACGGCCCCTCCCTTTTTTGGGCCGTTGCCGGCTCTTCCTAGCTGCCTGCCTGCCCGTTGCTTGTCTGCGTGCCGGCTTTTTTGTTTGCTTGTCTGTTGGTGCACTCTGGGATTCCCCGGCCCCCAGAAGGGGCCAAGTGTTTTTCTCTGGTTTTGTCGACCTCGGACGGTGCTCCCAGGTGCCGCCCCTCCTTTATTTTGGGCTGGTTTTGTTTTTAGGTGGTTTACGTTTTCGCCAGGGTTCTTGTGTCTGTGATGCCGCTTTATGTGCTACGTCGCCCATTTTGCAGATCCTGAGAAGGGGATGCAGGGGATACATGACGCTTGTCATCACCCATGTGGCAATGATGATGACCACGATGAATGATGATGCTGAAGATGATGATGATGATGATGATAATGCTGCCTCTGATGATAACTGTCATAGTAGCCTTCCCTGCATCACCAAGGGTGCCTGATCGCACACTTGAAATGCAAAAGTAAGAAAACAAGAAAATTCCAACTGATGATGATGATGATGATGACCATGATGACGATGATTATTTGAGAAAAGAAAGAGATGATGACAACATTACTTTTACGAGGCTACACCATCATAATGATCATGGTTATCATCACCGTGACACGGATGATGACAATTATCATCGGCGCTGCTGGGGATGCACGATGATGACCACAATCATGATGATGGCGACTCTTGCTAACTATCATCGTAGCATCCCAACGGGGGGAAGGTTACCCGAGATGATCTGTCCATGGATGAATCCGTGTGATCCCCTTTACTGTCCCTTGGCCAAAGCAAGGGGGGGTTTGTTGCAAGCGTGGATTCTCTTGTGGGCGATGAGAAGAGGAGACAGAAGGAAACAAGCCATTTTCTGGAGTCAACTATTTTGAGAAACACCCAAAAGATACCTCAACAAAACACCACTGTGGCAAGGTGACCCGCTGCGCCTTGGAAGCAGATGCTTGGCCTGCCGCCCTCGCAGTGCTGCTGGTCGTAACAACTTGTTTGTCCTGCCCAATCGTGCTGAACTAAAAGGGGTGTGTGTGTTTTGAGAAGGTACGCTCTTTCAGGTTGGTTTGAAGGGAAAGCAAAAGCAAAGCCACCATTTTGCGGGGTCCCATTTTGAGAAACACCCAAATATCGGCAACTTCATTGTTCACTTTTGGGCCTTTAGGTGATTGATGTGTTGGTGGTGAATGTTGAAACCGGCCAAAAAGCGGATGAGTTTCAATGCATGCCTACCTAAGCTTGCTTGCTTTGTTTTGCAACCTTGCCTCTTAGCAACCCTAGTTTGTTTAACAACGGCGCCATATTGTTGCCAACTAGGAAATCATTGAACTGGCTGAACAGTTCGACAGTCATCCAAGTGCCATGTACAGCCGTCAGCCACCAGCCTAAATGAGCGAGGAACATGTTGAGTTGTCAACCAGCAGCTTGGGCCCGGCAAGTGTCCCTTTCATTTCCAGGATCTGGCTCATGGAGCGCACTTGATTTAAGAACTGATGCTGTTTGGCAACAGAGTTGCAGAGGATCAATCAGCCCACTTGCCCTGCTGCGTTTTTGTTGCATTGTCACACCACTTGATCTATGACGCGCGATGTCTTGTGGTATAGGCCGGCGCACGCTTAACCCAGTTACACATGAAGGCCCCCCTCATGCAAAGAAGCGGCATCTTTGGCAAGGTCACCCCTTTGCGTGTTGGTAGGTGGTTTTGCTGACGTATGTTGGTACGCTGCCTGGTTGGCTGGCGTGCTGGTTGTTTTGGCTGGCTAGTTGGCTGGTTGATTGGCTTTTTGAGGTTGGGGGTTGGTCGCTTGGTTAATGACTGGCTGTCTGGCTGGTTGCCTGGCTAGCCAGTGGCTGGCTAGCTGGCTGGGGTAACTGGCTTGCTTCTTATGCTCTGTGCTTGGCTTTAGCTTGCTTTCTTTGTTTGGGGGTTGTTCGGAAAACAACACCCGTGCTTGGAAAACAATACTGGTATTCAGCCATTCGCCATGCGTTGGCTTTGCTGTTGTAAAGGAGGGTCTCTTCGTGTGCAGAGTCACAGCCCAATGGGTTTGATGCTGATGCGTAGCACGTGCCTAGTTGCAATATCGCTTTCAAAGTTTGTCTCGACTGGCGGAAGAAAGAGAAAGTGTGTGATAAAGTGGCTCCAGAGAAAGCACCGGCGTTGCCAAGCCGATCAGCTGAGGCTGGCGCACATGGAGCTACAGTTGCTTCGCACGGACACCAGGAGGGCTGATGAGGGCCGAAGATGCAAGCGGTCGAGAAACTGTGAGTGAAGGAAGAACGAGTTGCGCAGCGCGGTGTGCTGGTTTCAGATGCAATGCTCCTTGAAACCTGATTCAAGCGATGACTTGTTCAAGATGTGGCTTAGCAGCCAATCCCATGTACACGGACGTCGAATGCCATTTTCTTCTTTTCAGATCTTGGGCCCGACGGAGTGTGTTGTCAGGGCAGAACAAGACCATTGTCATGTTAAAACAGATCAGTTTGGGCAAGGTTCACATAGGCGCCCTGTCGGTTCCTTGTTGGCCAGGATGTATGCCGAGACGCTGGGTACCTTGGGCAGAAACACGCAGTGGCAGCTTTGTTGGTCCCTCTGCCAAACCTGCCAGCCAGACATGCCCTTCGTCAGCATCGGTCTGTGGAACGGTCACCGCAGGTGACTGGGGCCAGGAACCTCTCTCAGTCGAGAACCCGTGAACAACTCCTTTGTGCTACTTTGTGGACATCATATGAAAAGGCAACACCCTGACCGCACATGTTGCAAAAGCAAGCGGGTCACCATGGCTGCTGATGAATTTGGGCCGCTTTGTGGATGCTAGGATGACAATGAAGCACAGTTCAGGGATCAAGGACGTGAGTGCAGATTGCCCTGTAGATAATGTGATGGAGAGTTGGTGGACAGACGCACAATCACAAACACGGAAGCACCACCGTAACAGCAACACACACGCACTCAACCTCAGACTCGCACTCACACCCACGCTCGCATGCGCACATATACACACACACGCGCGCTCACACCCACGCTCGCACGCACACGCAAGCTCGTCCGCCAACGCACGCGCACGCGTACACACACAGAGACGCAGAGTCACACACACACACCGCACCCACATCCACACGGGCTGAAAAAACAACCCCGCGCCTTATCGTTATGTAAGGGGCCGTCCCTTAGCTTGTTTTGCAGGCCAAAGCCATTGTAAACCGACACAGAGGAAAAAACCGATACCACCAGAAGCCATGAAGACACACATCAGGTCCAAGTTGTTGTCGCAAACCCAGATTGCGGAACCATAAATTTGCAGGGCCAAACCGATACCCAAACCGATGCCCAACCGATACCCAACTCATTAGCCGCCATGCCGAATCCAACCAGCTGCTCTGCAGCCTTCCTTGGAGCTGCCAAAATTTAGTTTGTGTGCTACATTCGCGCTGGAGCTGCCAAAGTGTACTTCGTATACTACACGATACTACACTTACTTGCACTGCAAAGCTGCGACTTTCGAGCCGGAGCTGCCAAAGTGTACTGCGAATACTACTGGAGAGTTGCAACTTTCCAGCTGGAGCGTATATTACACTTGTACTGAAAAGTTGCGACTTTCCTGCGGGAGCTGCCAAAATGTACTTTGTGTACTACACTTGCGCTGAAAAGTTGCGACTTTCGAGCTAGAGATGCCAAAACACCGCAAACCGATAGGAAACCTGATAGAAGCCACGAACCCGAATGCAAAAGATGGCCTTGAGAATGCGCATTTCGTCAACTCGAGCAATGTTGTCCAGCTGGAGACATATTTTGAGCGACATTTTGAGCTTCTGACCGACCGTTCAACCGACACCTCGACAACACTCGCAAGCGACTTTTGTCACTGACACTTTTGAGAGACGCTTCTGAGCAAGAGCTTGAGCAACGGCGACACTTCTGAACACACTTACAAGCGATATTTCGAATTACGCTCCTAAGCGACACCTCTGATTGACACATCTAAGCGTCACGCGCCAATCCTGAAGCCATAATTCTGAGCGACAAACTACGGCAAACTGAGCGACGCCTCTACGCACACACATAAGCAACACTTCTAAGCAACACTTGAAGTGACACTTTTACACTTTCTACACACACACACGACGCTTCTGAGCGACACAGTTCGGGCAACACTTCTACACACATGTCTGAGCGACACTTTTGAGCGACACGTCTGAGCAACACTTCCGAGCAACACTTCTGAGCGATACTCCTGAGCGACACTGCGGACAACACCTCTGAGCGACACTTCTGAGCCACATGCGCTTCTACACGCACATCAGCACACTCCTGGGCGACACTCCTAAGCGACGATTCGAGCGACACTTCTACACACACATATCTGAGCGACACCTCTGAGCGACACTTCTGAGTGACGCTGCTGAGCGACACTGCTGAGCAACACCTCTGAGCGAAACCTCTGAGCGACGCTTCTGAGCGACACTTCTGGGCAACACTTCTGATCGACACTTTTGATCGACACTTCTGAGCAACACGTCGATCCGAGCAACGCTTCTGGCCGACACTTCTGAGAAACACTTCTGATCGACGCTTCTGAGCAACACCTCTGATCGACACTTCTGAGCGACACTTCTGATCGACACTTCTGAGCAACACTTCGATCCGAGCAACACTTCGATCCGAGCAACGCTTCTGGTCGACACTTCTGAGCAACACTTTTGATCGACACTTCTGAGCGACACTTTATGAGCGACACGAGCGACAATTCTGATGAAAACTTCTGATCGACGCTTCTAATCGAGACATCTGAGCAAGCGATGCGACACTTCTGAGCAAGACTTCTGAACAACACTATTGATACTGCCGATCGACACTTCAGATCAACACTTCTGAGCGACGTGACACTTCTGAGCAACACTGCTGACCGATACTTCTGAACGATTCTGGTCGACACTTCTGGTCGACACTTCCGATCGACACTTCTGAGCGACACTTCTGAGAAATGCAGCTTGTCACGTCTCTTGCAACGTCTCTTGTCTTAGAATGAACACTACTGAACGACACTTCTGATCGAAACTTGCGATCAACACTTCTGATCGACACTTCTGAACAACACTTCAGATTGACACTTCAGATTGACAATTGTGATCGTTTTGTCTCTCTCTCTCTCTCCCTCTCTCTCTACTCTCTTCACGCTCTCTCTCTCTCTCTCTCTCTCTCTCGCTCTCTCTCCATACTTCTATAATCGACACTTCTGAGCAACACATCTGATTGACACTTCTGAGCAACACTTCTGATGGACACTTCTGATCGACACTTCTGATCGACACTTCTGGACCTCTAATCGACACTTCGTATCGACACTTCTGAACGGCGCTTCTGAACGACACTTCTGATCGACACTTCTGAACGACGCTTCGTATCGACACTTCAAGTGCGCAGAGGGTTCACTTCGCATGCTCAAAATGCGCACCGCACCACAGCGAGAGCGATTTGACCCACCCAAAGTGCGCAGAGGGTTCGCTTCGAGTTCTCAAAATGTGCACCGCACCACAGCGAGAGCGATTCAACCCACCCAAAGTGCGCAGACGCTTCACGTCTCATTTTCAAAATGTGCAGCGCGCCACAGCAAGAGCGATGCGACCCACCCAAAGTGCGAGGGTTCACTTTTCATTTTCAACATATGCGCCGCGCCACAGCGAGAGCGATTCAACCCGCCCAAAGTGCGCAGAGGGTTCACTTTGTATTCTTAAAATGTGCGTCGCGCCGCCCAAAGTGCGCAGAGGGTTGACTTTGCGATCTCCAAATGTGCACCACGCCGAAGCGAGAGCGATTCGACCCCACCCAAAGTGCTGCGCCTGCCACGAAATCTACATGCAAGCTTGACAGTACTGCGCCTGCCACGAAAAGCTTTAAAGTACTGCGCCTGCCACGAAATCTGCACGGAAAGCTCTAAAGTGCTGCGCCTGTCACGAAAAATAACGTTACAGCGACATGCAAAACGCTGAATATGCTGCGCCTGTGACGAAATCAGATTTTGACACTCTCGCATCGCGCACGAAAACTCGCGCGGGACTGCAGCGTCAGAATGATTTCGACCGATTTCTTGCAAATCTGAAGTCGTGAAAGCGAGCCGATTGTACGACCGGGCCAACGAAAGCGACATTCGAGGAAGCGCTTGTGCGCGCATTCCAATCAAAACACCTGAAAACGACGACCCGTGAAACGCAATGGATTTGCAACGCAAGCGTGAGCCTTCACAAAACACTGCGCCTGCGAAGCGAAACGACGTCTAACATGCTGAGGGCTACGATTCGCGCACAGGGGCACAAAAAATGACAGGCTTCAAGTCATCCAAACGACGTGTAAAACGCTTTCCCCACTGGCGCGGCCTTACGTTCCACTTGCAAACGCTTGCGGACGCTTGCGAACGCTTGCGGACGCTTGCGAGCGCAGCGACGCATCTGGCGAACACATGCTGACCCCCAGGCCCCCTTCTAGAACGGGAACCCTTCTGCTACGCATTCGGGAAAAGACCGATACTAACCGATACTAGGGCGTAAGGATACAAGGGTTGTCCACAGGGTTGTTGTTTCAACCCACATCCACACCCGCGCGCGTGCGTGCACGCGCACGCACGCGCGTGCGCGTGCGCGCGCACACACACACACGCACACACTCACATACACACAACCACACACACACGACTTGTGAAATCCATGTAACAGTGTACGTGCCTGCTGGCTGGTTGTGTGTTTGAGGGCTGAGATCAAACCCCCAGTTGACACATGCTAGGCTTGGATCGTGGCCGACCCCACCGATTTGGAAACGCGGAGATTGATATTGGAAATCTTGTTTGGGAAAAACGATAAGATGGCATTGGCTTGCTCAGCCTGCTCTGCAATCAGTCAATCAACGAACCAATCAATCAATACAAATTACGCGCACGTCGAAGCCCACAGCGCGGAAGCAGACTAAGCTGGCGCGCTCCCAGCTGCAGCTACTTGTTGCCACCAGGGGCAGGAGTGCGCAGTGTTCTTTAGCTGCCGACCATGGCTATGGGAAGGACTGTGAAAACGCACGAGAGAGCTGCCAGAGCCGCGATTTGGGCGCGTACACCTCGCGAGATGCGCCGATCCAAATTGAGTGCGTCTTGGGGCTCGTGAGATTCATTGGCATGTGTCTAGCTGCTCTTTGGCAGACTAACCACGAAAATCTCGCACAAAATGCGCATGTCAGGGCCGCTGCGGAAGGAAGCCCGACATTTGTAGTTCATTCGCAAGCTCAAATGTTTAGCGTTCGTCGCTGATAGAAAGACGTGGCAAAGAGTCAGGCCCGCAGGCTCCCGTCATTGTGAGGCACTCTGTCTATTGTAGGTTGCCTGGGTGCATATTATTTGCTTTGAAGGCATTGCCTGCAAGCGAGGTACATGTGCACAACATCAGCCACCGCGGCCCTGCGGGCGGGCAGCTGGCAAGCGGTCTTCTGGCAGTTTCAGTTGGGCGGCTCGCAGTTCGAAGCTTGTCCGGATCGTAGGGCGGTTCCAGTTTGGTTGCCGACGCTTTCATCAAAACCTTCTGAGTTAATTGGTTTCCGGTGTGGAGTTCTTGGGTCATAGAAGGTCAATGGCATTACAGGCGCCAATCCAGGAATGCACATACACCTTTAAGCCACTGAACAGGGCAGGTTTGGGCCAAAAATCGGCGCCCTTCTTCATTTCTTGTTGTTGCTGGCTCTCCAGTACTGTACAGGAATCTGGCCACGCCAAGGATGCTTATTTCAATCTTGTTTCGTTGAGCACGCAACTCACCAGGAAACACCATGAGTCGAATAAAAATATAGTTTCTTCTCCTAGAATTTGTGCGCGTACGAAGCCTTGCTGGGATTCATGCCACTTCAACGTGTTACTTTCGACATGGAACAAGCCGACATACTTTAGGCAGCTGGTGAACAGATATAAGTCAAGAGAACCGGATTTGGGTGATATTCGCTCTACACGTCATGCGATTTTCTCCGCAGCTTGGAGGCCGGGCGCCAAGAAGCTGCGCCTTGGGATTTTCAGTCATTAGCCTTGCCAAACTGAGGATGCGGTTGCTCGCAACTTGGCCATCAGCGCCTGTGACACGGGGAGTCAATGGTGGGGATCTTTTGGCATTCTGGACTCGTTTGAAGTGTACGAGCTGGAGATAGACGTTGTCACTTTGACCTCTGTCATGAGCGCTTGCGAGAAATCAGCTCGCAGCTCGGTTGATGTGAAGAGCCTCACCTATTGTCGATAACAGCAGACATTAATTATTAGACATGGGTTCTTTCCAAACCACATCTTCCATAGCCAATGCTTGGTTTCCTTGGCATTGCTTCCGCGGTTCAGGGTCTTGGGGAGCGCTTTTTTTGCGCTGATCGGGTGGATTCCTCTTCCGCCTCGTTTGCGGGGATGCAACTGTTCCATGAAGATGCAGCCCAGGTTGGCCCCACGCTGTTTGCCTCTTTCGCCAACTTGCCGACCTTGATCTCGCTGCCACCGATGTGACGTATGGTGTGGCTGCCAGTGCCTTTGCCAAAGGCAAGTGCATCAAAGCTGCATCACGGACGCTTGGGACCATGTGCAGGCAACGCATGTCCGCAACAATTGCCTACAACGGAGTGCTCAACGCCTGCTCAACATTCACAGACTGGAAAACGGCCTTGGCCGTGTACAGACAGTCGCAATCGAAGGGTGTGCACCCTGATGATGCATCGCATTTGTCTGTCCTGAGCACATGTGGCACAGCCGGCCAGTGGCAAGCTTCAAGCCATTTTTTGCAGATTGAAGCGAAGGCTCGCGAAGCCAATCGCGTGATGCAGCTCAATACGGTCATCGATGCTTGTGTGCCCTTCCGGCGCCCAGCTTAGTTGTTTTTGGCACGCGCCAGGCACCTCCGTGTGTCTCTTTCTTTTTGCATCTAAGGCACGAATGCGGATTCACTGTTGAAAGGTGATGTTTATGCGTGGCATAAAGCAGGCCTTGTATGTTCGTTGGCGGCAGTCACTTGCGTCCCAATCACCGGAGTGTTGTGCCCCCGTCTTCTTGGGGGACATCAAAGTTGGCAGTCATTTGGGTGCCTTTCTAAGCAGCCATCATCAATATCAAAGTGTGGAGTCAGATGACGTACTTCAATCTTGCCTTGCAGATGTTGTTTGCCAGCCTTTTCTACAATTTGGGCTTTCGGCTTGACGTAACACAAGCGCGATTTGAAACAGCCCCTGTGGGTGGCCTGTGCCCCGCATAAAACCCTAGAGCTGAAGCCCAAACCTAAAAGTCTGAAGCTAGAATTTCAATCGCCAGCTGGCTGACCAACATCCTGCGCCATGTGGGGCACTATATGGGTGATGGCATTGGGGATGCATGAAATGTTAGCATCCAAGCAGCTGATATTGGATATTGTGGCGGGTTGCGCAGCGCCAAGGGCTTTGCATAATGCCCACTTGGCACGAACGAGCCAATCAGATTCATGAGGACACGCTTCCCCTTGGGACGGACCTATTTCACAGCAAGGGGTTTATGCTCAGAACCAGTGGATTTACTTGTTTGTTTACACTGCGTGGCTGGGCCCCAACGTTTCCCTTTGCATGTCGCTAGGAAGCCCAACTTGGGCTCCAATCCAATGTTCTTTTGATGGAGGATCTTCATTTTGCAGAATTTGCCCTTTCGATTTAGTTGAGGCAGCTTCCGGGGATGGACCCAAATTGCGGAACGCGTCCAGGCCTTCTAAAGAACCTGAGCGCCAAATGCCCCGCCCAGACATATATGGAAAAGATGGTTAAACTTGGAGCAACTGTGTAACTTGAATACCTGACGCGCTGACCTGTGTGTGAATCAATCCGGCAATGTAGCACCCCTTTTGTACTGGGGCGATGCTGCTGTAGGCTTAAGGCCTTGATCATATGTAGCAAGTGCAACATGCGCTGCAAGCTGCGCAAGGGTTGTCAAGGCATGTTGTATATTTTAGGGCTTGCCTCTAACAAAAACTCTTTAGGCCAAGACAGTACCCATTTCAGAATACCAATTTGACATGACATCTGAGCCCAAATATGGTATGACATGTGTATAAATGTGGTAACACAAAATGTATAACATTGGTATAACTGCAGCATACAATGTGCTTAGCTGCTTAACATTGGTGTGAACTTGGTATAACTTTAGTATACATGTGGTATACAATTGGTATAAACATTGGTATCAAATTTGTTTCAAGTTGGTATAAACATTGGTATCAAATTTGTATAAACTTGGATGAACTAATAGTGACCCTGCCAATAATTACGCAGTAACTATATCCACAATCAATATGGAACAACTGCCCGAAACACCCCCCCTGCACTGGTAAAGAAGGGGGTCATTTATTGACAGAGGCACGGCCTAATGTGTATTCCTCAAGTTGTACTGTAACCAGCGCAGTTTGCAATGTACAAAAAGGCTTGTTGCTCGATGTGATGTAAGTTATGCTTGGAGGCATGTGGGCAACCCTCGCTATGCGCAGTTGGGCGATGACTCCCTTGGCCATCACCTTGGGCCTCCCGCCGCTTCGACCGGAAGAGCTCCCCACGGTAGTGCGGATTCACGAGGTGCTCAATTTTGCTTGATGTGGTCTACGTCGGCCGGAAGAGTCATTCCCATCGCGTTCCTCGGTCGCAGTCAGTCTCGCCTTTTTTGCAGGGGCACACCTGACGGGCTCCCATTGTACGTGGACTTTGTCATCGCTAACCTGCAGGAGGAGTTGCTATCCTTCAAGGGGAAAAGGCTGGCAAACGACTGTGGCAAGGTGCGAGGCGGGTGTGCTGGCTGGGAGCCGAAAATCCTTCGGTCTCCAGAGCGGGTGCAGCATGGCGGCCGATCTCCAAATGGATCGCAGGAGGATGTGATCCTGACCTTCCTACCTGCGCTGGATCGACCTCTGTGTCTTGTCGTGCACGAGCACGGCCTCTGGCACTTCGCAGATTGGCGTCGCCTGCCCTCAAAGAGCTCAAGCGCAGCATCCTGTCTCCTTCAGACCGATGCCGTCCGAGGTGTGACCTCAAAGCGCGATCTGGGGTTGATGGGCCTGATGCAGACTTTGCAGCTTCATCAAAGGGCTTCCGCCGTCGGCCGTGCTCCGTGGATGCCGTCCCCTACTCTGAAGTTTTGGATGGTTGGCAGGCCCTCACGCTGGCCGTCCGCCCTGGCCCAACCGACGCCTGTGCCCTCGAGCGTTCGACCCGGGTTTCTGCGCGCCGCCCATGAGCTTCGCGGAGCTTCAACGCTATACTCCTTGTAGGAGTCTGATTGGGAGCAGCTTGCGTCCACCATCGCTTGCCTGATGTCGCATTGGCCGGCGTGTGTGTGTGTGTGTGCCAGGTTTGCTGATCTTTGGCTTCACCATCTTTAGGTCAGACCTTGCGGCGTAGCTGCCCACGCATAACAGTGTTGGGCAATAATTGTTGCTCTGATCGCCTTCCTGCCGACGCCGACATTCGTGCCGAGCTGGGCAGGAATTCTATAACTTGTTGCGTTGGGGACACAAACGTCGGTTCAGGCGCTTTCCAGCGGACAGGCTTGAGGTAAGAAGCTAGGTAGAGGCAACGTGGCGCGCGATGTCGATCAGCAGGTGCTGGATGTAGCCATCCGGCCAGATCGGGGTTGTCGCTCCTACCAGGCGTGTGAGGCTGGCGATGTTGTCGATGAATCACAAACCGTGAGGATGCCACAAACGCCTCCCTCGCCAGCCTGCAGCTCGCCCGTGCCTATGCGACCAAAGGTATGGAGGACAGCACCCTCTGCTCACGTCGCCCAAAACAGGCTAAGCGCAGAAGGTGTGCGTGGCTGCGCTTCTTGATGTGGCTATCATCGAAGTACATGGGGACCATGGTGGAAAGGAAACGTCGCCCCGTTCCCGCATAAACTTCGTAGCCGTCAAGCACTGTCAATTAGGCTGAGGCGATCAACTATTTTGGGGAAGTGACCACTTCCAGCTGTCCTACCCACAACCTTTTTCCTCCTGCGCTAATGAGGCTCCCGTGTCGCGCGGTCATGCTGAATGCGTGCGGGTGTCTTGGGATCGGCTTCAGTGCCTTGAAAGGTACTGCACCTAAACACACCCGCAGGAAAACTGCAGGGTGTGCCTGAGGACACCTTGAAAGCAGAACCTGAAGAGCCGAGGACATCGGGTATAATGGCTGGGCCACAGCATGGAGGAACCAGCTGTGGTGTCCAAAGCAAATCCTACAGGAACAGGAAATTCAACTTTTAAGGTGGTACTCCATAGAACGGATGAGTCGCAAAACTGTTTATTGGACAACTTTGCGGTTCCGGTCTATTCACGTTGCGACTGGTAAAAGTAGCGTTTTACCATCATTTTCGTGCGGCTGGCCACGCCAATCCTGCAGAGGAGGGCCTGCAACAGGAGAAAAAGCCTACGTATTCCTCTGGTGCTCTCTCGTGCTGCTGCTCCAGTGCTCCTCTGCCCTTGTTCCAGCGCTATGCCCCTCTCCTCTGCTCAATGCTCTAGTCCTCCTCGTGCTTTCTAGTGGTAGAGTTCGCCCCGGCTGCGAGCGTGGCTGGCTCCAGATAAGCGTAGTCGCGATCCGCTGCCGCTCGAAGCGCAAGCCCACCAGCCGCGTGCCCGCCTCGTAGTCGTAGCGGACGGGAATGAACTTCTCGCCGTCAATGTTGACCGGGTGGATCAGAAGGCGCCGTCCCTCGCCCCTGAAAGACCTCTCCACACCCTTGTTAGCGACGGTGAGAAAAGTACATGCCGGCAGCCAGATCGGTTGGCAGCGGCGAGTGTGGGTCAAGAAGTCCCACAGCTCTGGGTCCGTGCCGCAACTGGAACAACTGAATTTGGGCAAGTCTGTGGACTGGCTGCAGCTGGAAATCGCCTACGAACAAGGCTGTCTTGAGCTGCGCCACACCGCTGGGTCAATCTGGCTCGCCTCATCCAGGACGATTGAGTCGTAGTGGCGTAGCTCCACTGTCAAGTTCTCCAGCGGAGTGTTGGCATCAGCACGAAAGCGCCTGGCAGCAACGTCGCCGCCCGCACAGCGGCCCAGGCCCCAACAAAGATATCCAGGAGCTCAAAGTGGAGCGCAGACCCGCCCCCGCACGCAGTCCAGAAAGCATCTTAGCTCAAAAAGCAATGGTAACTTGGGCCTTGGAGCCTCCTGGTTATGATAGTTCCTGCGCGAGTACTCTCCGAGTACCCGGCGTGCGGGTGTAGTGCACGCGAGTGTGTGAGTGAATAGCGCGAGTGTGCGAGTGGCACCGGCGAGTGAGCGGATAAGACTTGAACATATGCGCCCAACTCGCACACTTCAGCCGCGCAGAATTCTCGTGTTGGCCAAACTTGTTTGGTGAAACAGGGATGTCTTAGGACCAAGTTCCACTTGGCCAAGACGGAGGGCCCCACAGACGTGGACATGAAAGGATGGCTGCGACTGAACCTGGCCGGGGGAAACTTTCCTGGCGCAAGGGAGCTTGGCGCTAGGGACGGTCAGATCAAACCTGGGGCCTGGACGGCTGCTTCAAGCGATCAATGTTGGCGCCTAGGACTTGGTCCGATTGCTGCGGCCCTGCTAAAATGAAACAGGAGGTCTTGAAAGAGGTGGAGCTGACCCAACTCTTTTTTTCTCCTTCTGCGCGTTCAGTTTTGGAGTGTTTCATCCACCTACCCAGCCCCGGGAAGAAGTGTGAAGTGGGCTGCACTTACACTTCTCCAACTCGCGCACCAGTGAAATGTTGGTCCCGCCAACCAGTCTCTCCAGCTGAGACCAGAAAAGGAGCCTTCCAGATCTCAACCAACATGATCTGAGTCATGTGGACATCGAGTCCCTCTTCGCGCGCGTTTAGCCAGGTCAACGGAAATTCTCGGTTGTTTTGATTGAATGCATTTCTGGGACATCGTGCCATTTCATGTGTTGTTGTGACGGAGCCTTATCAGAAAGGCGTTTGTTGTGTCTTTTGTGCAGCACTGTAGGCAGTTCGTTGAGATATATAAGTCTGTTTGCGTGTAGAAAATCATAGGGCTTGGCAACCATCTAGGAAGTTTCAGATAGCAATTGCGCATGTTGTGTTTCAAACCTGTTTCCGACCTTCCTTGGAGGATAACCTTGAAGCGTGTCTTTTGTGGCCAGCGGTGGCTTGCAGGGGGTTTGGCGCAAATTGCCGGGTTGCCATACACAAGTCGGCACTGACATTGAAGCCTCAATGGTGCCATCTCGTGCTCTGCGGCAAGAAGTCCCTGGAACTTCGTTCCCAGAACACCATGGTCCAGCCTGTAGCCCCATCCACAAAAACCTACTGGTGGAGGACATCACAGCCCTCCATGCGGATCCACTCTTTCGACAGCACATGTTGGGCCACCCATCCAATAAAAACCGACTGGGATGGACTCAGCGGCGTCCTCAATGAATGCTTCTCTAGCAAGGCTCTTGCGCAAGACATCCCTGTTTCACCAACAAGTTTGTCCGGGACCTGGTGGCTTGGCTGGCCTGCTTGCTGATCAGGGCCTTGGTGGTGTACCGCTGTTTTGAACGCTGGTTTATGGATTGAAATCGACATGACGCCCTGTGGGCTTTCATGCTTTGATATCAACTTACCGGGTTACCTCGATGACTACCCTTCTTCCGCTAAAACCGGTCTAGCCGCAGCCGGGTTCGCTGTACTGCCTGCCTTCAGCTTTGGAATGTGTAATCCACCTTCCCGGCCTTGGGGAAAAGTTCCGTGAAGTGAGTGCGCTTAGACATAAAATCAGGCCTTCTTTCTAGAAACTAGTTTTGGCTCACGAATACTACTCGCAATCGCATGTCCAAAAACAAGGTCCAAAAAAGACCTTACTTCTGCGTGAGTGAAAAGTGTGCGAGTAGGGCGCGCGAGTGACTGCGAGCAACCGAGTCACTCGTCCACTTGTCCGCTCAGTCGCCCGTTCCACACGCACGCCCTATTCGCACACTCCACTCGCGCACTCGCACGCCCTATTCGCACACTCCACTCGCGCACTCAGCAAAAAGCCGCTCGTACACTATTTGGCAAATGTCCCAAACAACCTGTTCACAACCTTTTGGCGCCAGCTAATATAAATGTAAATATATCTGTATATATTTCTATATCGTTTTTTTTGGTGCCTGGGTACATATCTGTTCACCCCCCACTTTTTGACATCATCAATCGAACAAGCAAAAAGTAGGGGGGGTCGCCCAGTTCCCTGGTCGAAACGTGCTTCTTGGGGGCCGTTCCCTCAGCCCAGATGGGCCCGGGCGTTGGCGCAGCTGCGGGGTCTGCCGCAGCAGCTTGTCCAAGGCGGGGGTGCGATGTATATTGTGGGTTGCAACGATGCGTATAATCTTCCGTTGCGCGCGCGCTGTGTGGCGTATAAGTTTCATATCATAGCTGTGTGGATGATGTAGCTTGTGTAACCTTCCATGTGTCCTATCTCACAATTATTCTTCCAGAATCGGAAACCGCTATTTTTTGGCGCGAACGGCTGCATGTTCCAGCTGGTTGGGCCAAGCACCTCAGCCAGCCCCTGCCAAGCCCGCGATTATGGCACACGCACGCATGTTTTTTGGTGGCGGCGCCGGGACTGTTGTCATTTTTCAGACTAGCCTTTGCCACGTCTCTTTGTCACGATAGGCTTGCAGGTGCGCTCATAGGTGTCGGTGTTGCCCACATGTCTGGCTAGCAGCTTTGACCCTGCTGCAAAGCGTGCAAGTCATGGTGGGCGCGACAAACACAGCGGCTAGACTGGGCTCAGGTTTACCTGTACAACCTGTAAGCGCGCAGATGGTAAGAACCCCGCTCAAGCGCACCCACTCCTCCATGCATCCATGCACACAGATGGTAAGTACCCACGCTCAAGTGCGCCTGCTGACCCAGGCATCCATGCCCGCGATGTAACGCTCAAGTGCACCTGCCCCTCAACGCATCCATGCTCAAAGATGAACCCATGCTCAAGCGCACCTGGTCCTCAACGCATCCATGCCCACAGATGGTAAGAACCCACGCTCAAGCGCACCCGCTCACCGCTGCAGCCATGCTCACAGATGGTAAGAACTCACGCTCAAGCGCACCCGCTCCTCAACACCCATGCCCACAGATTGTAAGAACCCACTCTCAAGCGCACCGCTCATCAAGCATCTATGCGCATAGATAGTCAGAACCCGCGCTCACGTGCGCCCGCTCATCAATGAATCCACACAGACGGTAACAACCCGAGCTCAAGCGCCCGCTCCGCAATGAATCCATGCCCACAGATGGTAAAACCCATGCTCGTGCGCCCGCTTGTCAATGCATCCAAGAACCCTCAAGTGTCATCAATGCATCCATGCTCACAGATGGTCAAGTGCGCCAGCTCATCAATGCATCCATGCCCGCAGATGGTAAGAACACACGCTCAAGTGGACTTGCTGCTCAATGCGTTTATGCCCACAGATGGTAAGAACCCACGCTCAAGTGCCGACATACACTCACGAGAAGTGGGCTTGTGGCAAGACTTGTCAACAGTGCTGGCATGTTTTGGTGGGCCATTTCTGCCGAGAGTCAAGGTGCGCAGCAGCTGGCTCAGCGCTGTAAGCGCGCGCCAGCCAGCTGGTAAACACACCTGCTCACGTGCGCCGCGCGCACGTCAGCCAACTTGTGCAGCACACCCGCTCACGCGCGCCCGCTCAGCACCGCACGCGCGCCATCCAACTGGTAAGCGCGCCCTCTCACGTGCGCCCGCTCAGCGACGCGCGCGCGCTAGCCAACTGGCTTACGCTCAGCGCAGCGCACGCGCCAGCCGCCAGCAACTGGCAACTGCACTCATTCATGTGCGACCGCTCAGCGTAGCAAGCTTTCAAACGATGCCGTCTGATGCTTCCGAGAACAGGCGCGATTTGTGGGCCTGGTTGCCGTGTGGGCAAAAAAGTGTCCAACGCGCATGAAGCGCCTGCGTTCAAATTTTCTTTGGGGCAGGAGCAGGGCGCCTTAGGAAACTTTTCCTTCGGCGGGTGTTTGTGATATTTTTTGAAGCAGTTTTTATTTGCTAGATATTTTCATGTCCAAGAATAAGGCAATAATAACTAGACCACGGTTGGCCCGAAAGCAGAACATCGCAAGCGAGGTCGGCCCAACGCTGCAGGATGCGTTCTTTTGCCCTACACTTCGTGAAGCAAGCGCGAGACTGGTCGGTGCAAGTTGGTCTGCGCAAGTTGCTCTACGCAAGTTGCACTGTGCAAGTTGCTCTGCGCAAGTTGCTCCGCGCAAGTTGCTCCGGCAAGTTGGTCCCTGCAAGTTGCTCTGTGCAAACTGCGCTCTCTGTGCAAGCTGCTCTGTGCAAGTTGCTCTGTGCAAGTTGCTCTGCGTAAGTTGCTCTGCGCAAGTTGCTCTAGGCAAGGCGCTCTGCACAAACTGGTCGGTGCAAGTTGGTCTGCGCAAGTTGCTCTGTGCAACTTGCTCTGCGCAAGTTGCTCTGCGCAAGTTGCGGTAAAATGCAAGTTGCATCTTGCGACGCCCGCCCGCGGACCAGGGAGGAATCGAACCCGCGACCCGCCGGTTCCGGGAGCAGGCGCGCGAACCACGAGACAACTCCCGAGGACCAGTTCGAACAACAAAAGTCGCAAAAAACCTTGAGTTTTTGCACCTCGACCACGCCGATTCCCGCAGAGGGTTGCGCGAGCACCGCAGAAATCGCAAAAAAACCATGGGTTTTTGAACCTCAACCACGCCGATCCCCGCAGAGGGTCGCGCGAGCAGGTTAGAAATCGCAAAAAACCATGGGTTTTTGCACCTCGACCACGCCGATCCCCGCAGAGGGTCGCGCGAGCACCGCAGAAATCGCAAAAAAAAACATTGGTTTTTGCACCTCGACCACGCCGATCCCCGCAGAGGGTCGCGCGAGCAGGTTAGAAATCGCAAACCACGCCGATCCCCGCAGAGGGTCGCGCGAGCAGGTTAGAAATCGCAAAAAAACCATGGGTTTTTGCACCTCGACCACGCCGATCCCCGCAGAGGGTCGCGCGAGCAGGTTAGAAATCGCAAAAAACCATGGGTTTTTGCACCTCGACCACGCCGATCCCCGCAGAGGGTCGCGCGAGCAGGTTAGAAATCGCAAAAAACCATGGGTTTTTGCACCTCGACCACGCCGATCCCCGCAGAGGGTCGATTTTCGTGTAGTGTCGTCGGCACTACCCCGCCGCCCTAAGAAGAGATTTTAACTCCTCGCAAGTCAATTGCACTTGACTCCTTGCACTTGCAACTTGCACTTGACTCCTTGCTTGTTTCAAGGAGTCATTGCAAGCAGTCATTGCAAGGAGTCATTGCAAGGAGTCATTGCAAGGAGTCATTGCAAGGAGTCATTGCAAGGAGTCATTGCAAGGAGTCATTGCAAGGAGTCATTGGAAGTCGCAAGTGCACGGAGTGCAAGTGCAAGTTGCAAGTGAGTGCAAGTGCAAGGAGCCAAGTGCAAGGAGCCAAGTGCAAGGAGCCAAGTGCATGGAGTCAAGTGCAAGTTGCAAGTGCATGGAGTCAAGTTGCAAGTGCAAGGAGTCAAGTGCAAGTTGCAAGTGCAAGGAGTCAAGTGCAAGTTGCAATCCTTGCCATGACTCCTTGCAATGACTCCTTGCAATGACTCCGCTCACGACTTAGAAGCACCCATTTCAATGAGAAGGAGGCACAACATTCTCAACACTGCTGATTTGAATTACAAAGTGAAAATTCAGAACTCACAAGGCCAGGTTTAATAATGAACAATCTCCAAAAACACCCAGCATAGTAAATACAACCTGAACAGGGCAGGAAAGTATATGGAATTCATGAACTTTAGACTTTTTGGGAAGACCATTTTAGTGGCAAATGTAAAGTTTGAACTTTTTCTGGGCCATCAACTCAGCCAGTGAGAAGTAGCATGCATCAACATACAGAACGAAGATGAATACTGTTTTAAGTACTGTGTGTTATGTTATATTTTGGAATTCTTCAAAATACACCAGCATAGACCCCAGATAGCACACCACGGATACGAACCATGACGCAGCATTATCATGATGATGTAGACCATGATGACACCACAGCCACGAAACAAACGCGCAGACAACGTCCTAATGAGATCAGCAGCATAATGATGATTTTGAGAGCAATCCGGCAGGAAAAAGCAAACCGAGGTCCTGATGAGTTCGACAGCATCATGATGATGCGGACAGCATCATGATGATGCAGACAGCATCATGGTGATGCGGACAGCATCATGATGATGCGGACAGCATCATGGTGATGCGAACAGAATCATGCTGATGGTAAAGGCAGCATCATGATGATACCACAGCCACGAACCATCTTGCCACAGCTTAATGAAATTCTGCATCATCCTGATGTTGACAGCATCACGGCGCCACTACACCCACACACCATAACGTGGGAACATCATGACGATACACCAGCCACGAACCGTTACACGCGAACAGCATCCACCAGCACCCCAAACATGCCCCTTAGCACCCGGTACAACCAAAGCAGCATCCACCCGCGCCTCAAACTGCATGCCCCTTAGCGCCCGGCCGTCAAGCTTGCAAAGCAGCACGCGCCAGCACCCCAAACTGCATGCCCCCTAGAACCGGCCGTCAAGCTCGCAAAACAGCATCCACCAGCACCCCAAACTGCATGCCCCCTAGCACCCGGCCAGCTCGCAAAACAGCATCCACCAGCAGCCCAAACTGCATGCCCCCCAGCACCCGGCCGTCAAGCTCGCAAAACAGCATCCACCAGCACCCCAAACTGCATGCCACTAGCACCCGGCCAGCTCGAAAAACAAAACTGCATCCACCAGCACCCCAAACTGCATGCCCCCAGCACCCAGCCGTCAAGCTCGCAAAACAGCATCCACCAGCACCCGAAACTGCATGCCCCCCGAGCACCCGGTCGTCAAGCTCGCCGGCCAGCTCGCAAACTGCATGCCCCCTAGCACCCGAAGCTCGCAAAGCAGCATCTACCAGCACCCCAAACTGCATGCCCCGTAGCACCCGCAAAGCAGCACCCACCAGCCCCAACTGCATAGCACCCGGCCGTCAAGCTCGCAAAGCAGCGCCCACCAGCACCCCAAACTGCATGCCCCCTAGCACCCGGTCGTCAAGCTCGCAAAGCAGCACCTACCAGCACCCCAAACTGCATCCCCCCTAGCACCCGGCCGTCAAGCTCGCAAAGCAGCACCCACCAGCACCTCAAACTGCATGCCCCCTAGCGCCCGGCCAAGCAGCATCCACCAGCACCCCAAACTGCATGCTCCCCATGCCCCCAGCACCCGGCCGTCAAGCTCGCAAAGCAGCATCCACCAGCACCCCGCAGTGCATGCCCCTAGCACCCGGCCGTCAAGCTCGCAAAGCAGCACCCACCAGCACCCCAAACTGCATGCCCCCCGGCACCCGGCCGTCAAGCTCGCAAAGCAGCGCCCACCAGCACCCCAAACCGCATGCCCCCTAGCACCCGGCCGTCAATCTCGCAAAGCAGCACCCACCAGCACCCCAAACTGCATGCCCCCTAGCAGCCGGCCGTCAAGCTCGCAAAGCAGCATCCACCAGCACCTCAAACTGCATGCCCCCGAGCACCCGGATGTCAAGCTCGCAAAGCAGCGTCCACCAGCACCTCAAACTGCGTGCCCCCCAGCACCCGGCCGTCAAGCTCGCAAAGCAGCATCCACCAGCACCTCAAACTGCATGCCCCCTAGCACCCGGCCCTCAATCTCGCAAAGCAGCATCCACCAGCATGTCAAACTGCATGCCCCCTAGCACCCGGCCGTCAAGCTCGCAAAGCAGCATCCACCAGCACCTCAAACTGCATGCCCCCTCAATCTCGCAAATCACTTTCCCCTCTTTATTAGAAGTTAGAACCCCTATAGCTTTCAGCTATCTGCGGAAAATAATGTTTTAAGTACTGTGTGTTATGTTATATTTTGGAATTCTTCAAAAAACCACAGCAAATGAGACACTACAAGGAATAATTGACTACTGAAAGTTTAGTGAGATGGGATGGTGTAAATTTTCCAGCACCCAATGATGATACTGACACATTCGAAAAATGAGTCAAAAGGTATGTTTATGATGAAGATCAAAACCAGACCATCAGAGCAGACGAAGATTGAAGACCTTCTAGTCGTTAACAATGTACTACGGGTTCCAAAAGATAATACTTAAAAAAAGACTACAACCGACGAATGGGTAGTCAAATAAGCAGAGACAAAGGAAACTATTTCCTTGCAGATACTGTCAGCATGGTTTTACAACAGAAAACTTTCAATTTCTCACGCTATAAAATGTTGTATGGCAAATGACAGTCAACACGCTAGACTACCAACAGAAGGAACAACGGTGACATTTGAAACACATTTAGGAAACTGAAGGCGCCATTTGTTAGCTGCGGTTGTCTTGGATGTTTAACCACAGAAACATCAGTTGGTATCAAAGGGAGGTACGAGGCAACACCGCAAGCGATGTTGAGATGAACGACGCTGTTTATGCCAGAAACCACATTGACTTTGAACTGGTTGATACACCTGAACGCTACCAAATTTGCGTTCATAATCCCAACTCTAAATACAGACATATCATCGATGAAAAGCTTATTTGAGCTGAGAAAGGAAAACATTGGAGTTGAGAAGGCAAGAAATGTAGTTAAACTAGCTAAGCCAATCTATGTAGGAATGAGTGTTTCAGGTTTATCAAAACAGCATACGTATCCTTGCTACTGTGACATTATGAAACCCTGATATGAAACGCTACAAGCCATGTTATATGCCGATACTGACAGTTTTGTTTTACATATTCAGTGCGGATTTCAGTGGTTATGACGCAACACAAATGTTATGAGAAGAAGAACGAGAAAGTTTGAGGGCAATTCAAGCATGAAGCGGATGGAAAGACAATAGCCAACTCGTTAGCATTAAAACCTAAGTCATACTGTTTTGGTAAGCAGAACGAAGAGAAACAAGCAAAGAAGCGTAAAGGAATAGCAAAACATAAAGCCAAGCCTCAGTTGGGCTACAACAGTTATGATGACGCACTGAAAAACAATAGTTGCGACACAGTAACATTCAATCATATCAGAAGTAAAGCACGCCACACACACAGTATAACTCAAACAAAACAAGTTTTGCGCGCCTATGAGAACAAGTGCTTTCACAGACAGCGCTACTTCTTTGCAATATGGTCATGACAAAGCATTGTAAAGAATCAACGCAGGCTATAAGAAATGGTAGGGTAAATTCTTTTTCACAATCCGGCTCATGACGATGTTTATGTAGGAAGCGCAACGCAAACATTATGCAAACTTTTTTGAAAGCACAAGGAGAATTTCATCTCACAAAGAGATTCTGAACAACCACTGTATAAGTTAGTTGAAACGGCTGATGAACAAACTTTCTTCGTTGAACGTCTGGAAGAATACCCATGTGCGAGCATTGCGCAGTTAAGAAAGCGAGAATGTCCGTTTACCAGGGACACGGGAACACTCAATAAAGTCATTGCTGGTTGCGGTGAAGAAGAGAAAGGTTACTTAAAAAATCAAACAATGCAGCGCAAACAACAAAGAACACCGCCAACAGTATGAAACATAATGCAGACTGGAACACAAAGCGCGCAAAAATGAATTGGCGGCGGGTTTGTCCAGCGGCGCGTTCGGGAATTGGCAGCGGGTAAGTCCAGTGGCTTGTTCGGAAGTGGCAGTGTGTTGGTTCAAAAATATCCGTGGGATTGTCCAGCGGTTTGTTTGGGAATTACAGTGGCTTTGTCCGGTTCCTCTAGGTCGTCCTCTGACTGGTTGGTGTGACAAGCTTTGACACTTCTGCGTCAAAATAGGAACAGGCGCAGCACGATGGATTCACTTGCTCGCTTCAGCGGGTTGAGATGCGCAAAAAAACAAAAGCAACGCTTAAAAATACAAACGCGGTAAAAATGGTGCGCGCCGGGCGTCGCGGACCCCAAATTAATTACGTGCAGCCCCGCACGAGAACCAGCAAGGCTAAACCAGCACTAATCTCATATTCGGCTGATGCTATGCCTAGACTGCAACTACCGTGATACTAGTAACTGCTGCTGGGTACGCAACTGGGACTAGGCTAGGAACATCAATCATGACCAAGCACAAACTAGAAGCGCCGACGCTCAAACCAATGCTGTCACTAAGTTCATATCGTTTAGTTAGTTGATACTGTTACTCCAACCCATGCAACTCCTTCCTGCGGATGACACATGTACGTCGCACAGAAACATCCAACGATGGTAATGTGTCAAGTTTAAACATGAGCCAACCATGTTGCAGCGGGTTCAAAAGGCACGACGATAGTCCTGAAATCAACAAGTAGGACGCACAGAATGGGCGAGCCAAACTCTGGTTGAGCGTCCTTGGCATTTGCAATTTGGAGTGTTGGTCACCAGAAGTCCGGGCTGGTTGACCAATTCAATCACCACAAAGATTGCATTTCTTCATATCTCCACAACTTAGATTTGTGGGCCCATGAGTTGCCCACACGCGTGGTCTCCTGGCAGTGTTTGTGGTTTGGCCGCCAAGGTTAGCGCCTCAAAAATCACTTGAGCGTATGTGTCTTATTTTCCAATCAACAGCTAGTATCTGCCTACTTCTTTTCTTGCATTTTTCATGAAGCATTCAAGGTGACCCCTGAAAGAAGGACCCAAGAAAGAGCTTTCAGCCTTGCTGGATATAGGCCTTTTGGGGGATCCTAGACAGAAAAGGCTCATTTTGAAGGTTGGCATCAAGCCCACTCCCCAGCATTTTTTCGGAGTGGGAACGAAATGTTTCTGTGTGGCGGGGTCCCGCCCACCCAGACAGGGCCCACTAGCTCCTTTCTGCAAAAACGTTTTCTCGGGCATCTTTTTGCACAAGTGCAACTGTTCAAGAAAGGGCTCCCCGCCAAATCCGCCAGCTCAAAAACCAGGCTACTTGAGCAAACATTTTAGCCTTGTGTGCGTCACGCTTCGGTGAGCGAGCTGTCAATGCAAATGTCAATGCTGGGCGTTGGGCTCAACTTGGGGCAGTTTACCCAAACTTGATCTCAAAATGAGAACGTCCCGTAGTCAGGTCTATGATTTAGTCATAGTGTATTTCCCGAGGTTTACTTAATGCCGAAGGATAAGAATTTTCCTGAATTGTCCACACAGGAAATGTTGTTTTTTATGAATCCGTTTTATGCGTTAGTCATATTTGTCAACAAACACTGATCTGCATATATAATTTGCGAATGGTGCATATATTTGTAGTGATTTAATGACATATTTTTTTAACATCGTCATTATTACTTGCCCGCTGTAATTCAATTTGAATTAGTTCACATTCAGTGTTAGGTACTGAGAGTTTTAAAGGTTCTCTTCGTCGCCGGAGGTTTTAGGTGCCAGGCCGCAGGGGGGTGAGCCATTCATCAGGCAGTCATGTGACCTACGCGGTGGTTCTTTCGGAGTTGCCTTGGCGCATGGCCTTGTTTTTGCTGGAGCCAGGCCGGGGGCCGGAACCGTTTTTGTGCTTTCTCTCTGAGCCAGTCTTCACACAGCAAACTGCAGGGGTTCTCCATTCTTGAATGAATGAGGTCTGGCAGGCTTGGGCGTTCAAGGTATCATGACTTACTGCAGTTTCAGCTATGCCAAGTTTGGCTCAAGGTATTGATCCAAACTGGTTTTCTGTCTCAGGAGTGACCTGAATGGCAGGTACTCATGTTGTCGTGCGCACGGAGCGCCAGGTCCTTTCGCGGCTCCGTGGTGGAGATTCGCCATGCAGGGCAGCACGGGCAAGTTGAGAGTGGATTTCCGGAGTTACCGGTTTTGCGCTGGGGTCCTTGCACGACGGTTGGATGCCTCAAGTGGTTGGGATTTGGCGCCGTCTGCCTCTGGCGTCCACGCGCATGGACAGATCTGCCCCGACCATGTGGGGCGCCTTTTGGCATGGCTGGATGGACGAACCCAGGGATGGAGTTACCATGCCTGAGTTCTGTTGGCTTTTCAACCCACCGCAACAGTGGGTTTTCAAGGAGCCATTGAATATGAGTTTGGGGGAGGGGACTTTGCCATGGCCAAGCGGGCCAGCAATGCCACCCGGTTCGGCGGCAGTGGATGCGGTGTCTGGTCCCTCCAGTGTGCTGGTCTTGGCGGACTCCGTCTGGGCCTCCTCCAGAGCCTCCTCAAAAATAACCCAGCTCTCATAGTTGCCCAGCTCCTTCAGCATGTCGAGGCAAACCCGCATCGCCATCGTAGCCCAAGCGCCGTTAGTTCAGTTCCTGGGATGCCAAGAGGAAGGCGTCCTTGTCAGGCACCACGGGCGCTCACGCCACCGTGTCATGGATGTCCGTTGTGAGCATCGGGTTCACAAGCCGCGCAGTGCTCCGGCCCCTGCACATGCAGCAGTGACAACTGCGTGGCTGCGTAGCCCGTAGGCTGCCCCAACCACGATCCAAGCTGAGTCACTCTCAATGTCCGCCTCCTCTTCCCTGCGCCGAAGCAAACCACCCGATAAAAGCTGCCCTGCAATTGGCTCGCTGGACGATCCCTCCGTCGCACGCTGTGCGGGCGGCTCCTTCAACACCCGCTTGGCTCTGCATTCAGCAGCCGGATGTGCACCCCAGCAGGCCCGGCCCGTCTGCGCATTTGTGGAGCTCCTCGCAGACTGGAACCCCAGTAGTGCTTCGTCAAGTAGCGCTGGTTCAGCATCTGCTCACTGAGCGGTGCCGCCGCCCGTGCTTCCTTCGCCCTCCACAAGGGAGCCAGCTGAACTGCACCCATTCGGAGGTGGACGGAGTTGAAGGCCTTTTTGGAGTCTCGGGTGCTTGGGCGTTGGCACGCTCCGCCGTGCTAGTCACGGAGAATCAGCTTGCCCCTGCGAGTAACTGAGCAGTGAGACATGGAAGAAACCGGCGTTTCCCCCCTTGCAGCGTTCAGCAACAGTTTGAGCTTTGACTGACTGTGCTGGAGGCGACAGGCAGGAAGTAGGCAGGTCAGGCAGTGGGTTGCAGAGGAGCCACCATGCTGTGAACCTGCTTGCGTGTTTGTCTGCAGTCCGTCATTTCCACCAACGGTACCTCCCGTATCCCCTCCCCCTTTCCCCGGAGTTTGGGCAGCGGTTCCTGTGTGAGGTGGCAAGTGACGCCGCAGTTCCCCAAACCGGCGGGTGACGTCGGAGGCGCAGGGCAGGGTGGGCCGGGAGCTTGGTGTGTTGGGGGGGGTTGGCGCGAATCGGCTGCCCTGTCGTTGGTGCCGAAAGAGAGTTCTTCAACGAAGGCATCGTTGAAGGGATCCAGTTTTGAGTTAGATGAAGTTGTGGTGGAGGCCCTTGTGAAGGCCCAGAGTAGTGCAGTCCACGCACGCTACCTTGCCCTCGAAGACAAGCTCACTCTCCCGGATCCCCCACGGTTGGCCCGCGCCTTGTCCCCCTGAGCTCCAGCAAATGGGATCCCTCACGGTTGCCAGCCTGCTCCCCTGGCCTTGCAGCTCTTATTGCAAGGAAATCAAGACTGGAGCCATCACTGTGGGTGCCAGTCACACTGGCTCACTGTAACTTTCAAGAGTTCAGGTTTTCTTCATTGATGGAATGGCCGAGTAAGCTCAGTTTGGGGGACAACCGTATGATCCAGGTGGCGGGCTTCGTCGCGCTTGGTCCACGGTGCTTGTTTTTCAGGCAGTCCAAGCAGGACAGAGCCAAGGGGACCGGACTCCATGCTTGAAGATCAGGAGCTTAGGGCCACCAAGCTCCGGTTTTGGCAGCCTGAGGTTTTCAAGCGGATGCTGTGCATCTTTCCCATCTGGAAGGTGAAGAGCCTTCAGCACCAGCTATACGTCACGCAGAAGAAGCGGAAGGTGAGCGAGTTGCTCTTCACCGAGGAGGCCGAGGAAGAGCCCTTGGTGGAAGGCTAACTGCTTCACAGTTTTTTCAATCGGAGTGTCCGCGGGATTTTAAGCAGGAAGCGATGCTGCATGGTCACGCAGGAAGTGACCCGCATGGCCCACCCCAGAGCAGGTGTGAAGCTGCTTGGTCGGTGGGTCTAGCCGCATTGCCCTGTGCGTGACACAGGCTGGAAACGAACATGGACGAGCGTTTGAAGAAAAAGGAGCTGCACCGTCAGGGCTGATGGAAACCGTAGTTATAGGTTGACTGCAAGTAGGAATGAGTTTTACTTTGTTCTTGCGAAACGCTGGCCATTCACGAAGAAAACTGCCGGCCCAGGCCAAGGAACGAGGAATGGGCGTGCGAGAATGATCTCAGCCTGAGGCACTGAAGGGCAAGGATAAACAGGCAAACTTCTTGGGAGGCGTCTCTCGACACAGGCCCAACAGTCTTCAAGCACTAGCCTATGATGAATCGCATCATGATGGATGCTTGGCAGTTTTACAAGGTGTTTACATATGAATATAGATTGAGCATAAAGGGCACGCGGGACTCCACAGTAGAGCCGCAAGATGCGGCCTTTCCGGGCAAGCGTTCCGTTCTGTAAACCTAATAGGGGCCATTCAACTACGCAAACAGTTTCTGGTAGGCCGGCAAGAGCTTTGGCAGGCGAAGTAGTGGAGGTGCAGCATAGTGCGCTGAGGGCGGCACAGCGAGGAACAGCGTGGACCCAGCAATTGGCTTTGCTTCGGCCAGGCGGGGGTTGTTTGAACGTCTGGCCAGAGAATCAGCAGTGCAGGGTTAACGAACTGTCTGGGAAAACGTGGAGTTGGTGATTGATAGCGCTTAACTTAGTCGCAAGAAGCAAGACTCCATGATGACGGAAGCCTCATCAGTTTCCAAACATTTGATGGTTCGAAATGTAGCTCACTTCGGCAACCCGATGACAAAATATCACTCAGCAGCACTGAGCCGATTTTGCTTGAGAGCAGTCCCGTGGCGGAAGTGCTTGAATTCAAAATGTGTTGCGTTTGGAAAACAACTGAGAGGTATAAGTGGGGACTATTAGGGATCGTTCTTTTTTCCTTCAGGTTCCATTCAAGTCAGCGCTGCACATGCTGATTGTTAGATGTTCCTCTGGGATCCACTTAGGATAAAGGCTGTTTGAGGCATCAAAACCCCGCCACGTGGCTGGGCAAAACTTCTGCAGGGCGGTGTGGCGCGGCTGGCTGGTTCATGCTGACTTTGATCTTCAAGGGTGGGTAGGCAGCCGCGCAGGCGACAGTATTGCCTTCAACCTGCTGCTCAAAGCGTTGCCGTGGCAGAAGGCCTTGCTCCGGCTTCAAGGAGACCGCCGCCTGGAGCCTTGGACAAGAAGGCAAGGTGAGTTCACTCGCCGAGCTCATGGAGAAATGGTGTTGGTGTGTGTGTGTGTGTGGTGTTGGTGTGTCTGTGTGTGTCTGTGTGTGTTTGTGTGTGTCTGTGTGGCCTGTGTCTGTGTGTGTCTGTGTGTGTGTCTGTGTGTGTGTCCCTGTCTGTGTGTCTGTGTGTCTGTGTGTCTGTGTGTCTGCGTGTCTGCGTGTCTGCGTGTCTGCGTGTCTACGTGTGTCTGCGTGTGTCTGCGCGTGTCTGCGTGTGTGTGTCTGCGTCTGCGTGTCTGCGCGTGTCTGCGTGTGTCTGCGTGTGTCTGCGTGTGTTTGTCTGCGTGTGTCTGCGTGTGTCTGCGTGTGTCTGCGTGTGTCTGCGTGTGTCTGCGTGTGTCTGCGTGTGTCTGCGTGTGTCTGCGTGTGCCTGCGTGTGTCTGCGTGTGTCTGCGTGTGTCTGTGTGTGTCTGTGTGTGTCTGTGCGTGTCTGTGTGTGTGTGTGCGTGTGTGTGTACACCCTGACGTCCGGAAAGGGTCTGTTTCGACAGTAAACTATTTCTGATTTCTGCTTCGTGGAGTATGTCTATAGGAAACCGGCCCCCTTTCTTAGTACCTCGTCGCGGCAGTCATGGGCACTGACGAGTAGCCGCGGCGAGCGAACAGATCGGGAAGGTAAGCTGACAAAACTCCTTCAAGGAACCCTGGAATTTTTCGTTTTCACGCTCGACAACGTCGTGGCGCTCCTCTTGCGAAGGTCCGCCTTAAGTGGCTCACGGAATAAACAGTCTTATGGCATCAGTGTGTGTCCTTCGGGAATCCCGCCTGTGCTAGTAGATGCCAGCGGACAACCACGTCACCTATTGGTGCGTGGGTGGTTGCTGAAGCGCACCTGCGCTTCAGGCGGTGCCAGCTTATGGGCTTCAGGCGGATTTCGGTGTTCCTGACCCTTCCCTCAAACTAGGCTGGGCCGAGGCGGGCAACGCGAAGCGTTTACAATTAAAGCAGGCACAGGAAGGGAAGCAACGGGCCAACGCGCAGGAGCTAATCAACTTTTATGCTCCATGTCCAATTGTTGCTCCATTTTTTGGTCACTATCCAGCTGCTCTGCGCTCCATCCAGCAAGAGTCATTCAGCTCACAGTTGTGAATGTGGAATTTTGCTTGTGATCCATTGTTTAATATTGCCAACTTGTTCGTGGCTTGATAGACACGGGCAACGCCTCGGGCGCCGGAAGCTGCCGGGCGCAAGCGCGGCGCTTGACACATGGACACCTCGCTTCGTCGCATGTGTCATTGCAGTTCCTGCCAAAGCGCCAAATGGGCATCAGTGCGTGCAGGCACGGCGCTTGACACATGGACACGTCACTTGGCATTGGCCGCGTGTGTCATGGCAGTTCCTGCCCTTCCAGCGTTCTGTGCCAGAATGCGAAGCCTCTTCTTGCGAATGGACATTGCTTGCGCCCTGACCTTCGACGCAGGCGTCTCGTGATCTCCCTGTGCGGAGCGGTGGGTCCAGTTTTCGGGCGCGACGCGCGTGCCGACCTGCTAGCCTCAACCACAGCGTGCAAAGCCCAGCCGCGCAGCTCGGCCCTTGCGCTTTGCATTCCTTTCACCACCGCCAGCAAACCCATGACCCCACCAGTTTGCTGGTCATATGCAGGCGCTGCGTTACGCCGATCAACCTCTTGCAAAGGGTGCGCTGGCAAAGGCGCTGGAGCAGACATGAAGTTCAGCGTCGCAGATCCTACTGAGAGCTTGTGACCGCACCAGTTCGCCCGTGCTAGTTCGATGTTCGGAAGCCGTCCTGCTCAGAAGCCGTAGCGTGTGTCGTTGTATTTCCCCTGCGCCGAGAGGCCGGGCAGGCTGGGCTGGGCGTGCTGGCTAAGCTGTGGGCTGGTGGCCGAAGCGAAGGGCTGGGCTAGGCGTGCTTAAGTGGGTTGCTTGCTCAGACTAGGGCTGGCCAGCTTGGGCTGCGCTTGGGCAGCCGGAGTGAAGGGCTGGGGCACGTGGGCCAATTGATGCCATGCGACCAGGCTGCTGGGCTGGGCAGGGCGGGCTGGGCTGGCTGGTTGGGCTGGCCTGAAGCCAGTCTTGGGTGGGCTGGGCTCGCACGGGTTGCTGGTTGGGCTGGGCTTGAAGCTGGCTCCAGACAAGTCAGACAAGCCAGCCTTGCCTGGTTGGGCTGGGCCACAGGCCAGTCTCAGACACATCAGATAAGCCTGCGCTGGGCCCCAAGCTTGTCTTGGGCGGCTTGGCTTGTGTGGGTTGTTGGTTGAGCCGGGCTGGGCAGCCGCACTAAGGGGCTGGGCTATGGCTGGGCTCGGCCTGAACCCAGTTTCAGACACGTCAGACAGGCCTGGCCAGCAGGCGGACTAGCCCAGGCTGGTGAGGCCCAGTCTTGGCGCTAGATAGGCTGAGGCCTGCAAGTCTCAAACAGGGTGGGCTTGGGTGGGGTTTGCTTAGGCGGGTTGCTGGTTGGGCTGGGCCTGAAGCTAGTCTGTTGCTGGCTGCGGCATAGTAGCTGGCGTAGCTTCAAACCAGTCTCAGACATGTGAGACTGGTCGTTGGCCTGCGGCCAGTCTCAGACACGTTAGACAAACCTGACCTTGGCACACTGGGCTGAGCCTGCTGCTTGGGCGGGTTGCTGGTTGGGCTAGGCCTGTTTCAGACAAGCTTGGGCCTGGCTCAGGCATTGTGCGTGCCAGCCAAATATCCATGCGTTTTGAGAGGCACGCTTTGGAACGCAGCACCTATGGGACCCTGGCAAAACTTTCCTTTTTTCGCTAATGAACCTCACTTGGTCCTTCGGCTCTGGGCCGAGCTTCTTCTTCCACAGATTCTCCACTGCCTCCTCCTTCTGCGAAGGCATTGCTTCCAATGCCAAGCCGCGCAAGCGCTGGCCAAGGACAGTTGCTTCCAATGCCAAGCCGTGCAAGCGCTGGCCTTAGGACACTTAAAGACTGCTACTGAGCCAGGCACAAGCGCATCCAATCCAATTTGAACATTGCAACCTCCCAACACATGCGAAAAACATGAGTCTGGCAGACACAAAAATTTGAAAACATGCAAGTTGTGGCTGGCGCAGCCGCTTCATCCAAGTCAACAAGCGTGCAAACATGAGTCACTGAGTTGGAACACGAATCGCTGCAAAAGCATTTTTGAACACGCAAACTAAGAGCTGCCGCAGTAATGAGCCAGCCTTGCTGCAACTCTGCAAGCAGGATGTGGCCTGTTTAGCTGTGAGTCACAACGAGCAAGCTCGGATGTGGTCTGCTTTGCTGTGGTTGCCAGTTGCATTTTGCAAACAGACACAGCGAGCCAGCTTGGCTGTGGTCTGTTTTGCTGTGGCTGCCAGTTGACATTCTGGAAGCAGACGCAACTACCAGTCATCTGGCACTGGATAGCCAGCCTTTGCCCACGACACGCAGGCGCTGCCGTTGTTATTATTGGTCGCAACAGTTCGCCGCCGCAAGCGCTGCCTTAGATGAACCAAATGAACCAAACTGCAGCAAGAGCAAACTGTATTTACCTCAAACGAGCGTCTGGCCATCAACAGTTGGGACAGCTCCACGGCGCGCATTGCGCTGCCATCGGAGTTGACGCAGCCTAGCAAATGACACAGCTTGCAAATTGCTAAAAGCTGCGCAATGGTTTGCTGCTGCAGTGAGTGCCAAGGCAGTAGGCTTTGGCCCCTGTTACACCATGGAGGTGATAACAATCACGGTCTACACGCATGCAGCGGCCCTTGGGCGCCAAAAGCAATTCACTCTCCAACATCAGCTTCCATTGTTTCTCTGCTTTGTTGGGCAGGGCCTCAGACATTTGGAAAAGGCCTTTGGACTCCCGACACTTGGCCTCCCACCAGGGTTCCTGCCTCCTTCAGTTCTCTGCGACAGGGCGCAATTGCCGCACGACTCGTCTTTCTTCTGGTAGTGAGGGTGCTCCCGCAACATGCCCGCCAGAAAGGACGCTACATTGAGGAGCAGCGCCGCAAGAGACAAAACCAGCTTCATAATATCCATGGCTTCCGCGAAACAAGAGCGGCCGGGCACAATGAACTTGAGGCAAAACAGCCAGTCTACAAGACAAGTTCAATTGCAAGTTCAAAGCAACGTGTATTTTGACATGCTGGAACTGGAACAAATGAACTTGTGCCCCATCCATCTCTTCAGAAGTCGATGATGGTGTCGATCAGATAACCTCTCGGGCAAAAGGCCACTTGCTAACTGCAGACATGCTGCCACGAGGAGAACCAGGACCTTTGCCCCACCGTCTGCGAATGCGCCCACTATCATGTTCCATCCGTGTTGTCACGGGCAAACACCACGTCCATCACTGCATCTTTTGAAATTCCCAAGCCTGGCCCATCGATCAGAATGTTGACTGCTCACATCTGCCTCCCGTGCTCCCGGGCCGCCCTCCTGGCTTCCCATCAGTTACGGGCATCCATATGGGCATTGATTGAAACCCCAGCCACGGCGAGGAACGAACCTTTGAGAGCCAAAAATGCTCCCCCCCGCGGACATTCAGAGACAATCAAGGACAATTAACACCCGCAACCCAACTTGGCCCAATTTGATAGTATTCAATGCAGACGTTGCGGACCCGAGAAAACAACATACTCACATGACATGTCGCGGCAGAAGCTATGCAGAAGCACTTTTGCACATTCAAAATTGCAGGCACTAGTAAAACTAGAGGACGGTTGGCCCGGCAATTTCCCCCAAGAGCTCTTCCAGCCGCGGAGACACCTTTTTACATCGATGCGGCGAGCGTGTCTGCGCGCGGCGATGCTCAATGTGTATTATCACATGAGAGCTCCATACCATCGTCCTACGAGAGGAAACATGGCAGTGTCTGCGCAAGCTGCATTGTTCCAGGCTGCTGCGCGCAAGTTGCTCGCTGCAAGCTGCTGCGCGCAAGTGGCTCGACATCTGTTTTCAAGCTGTTCTGCGCGCGTTGCTCTGCAAGTTTCTCTTCGCAAGGCGCTCGGCGCTTGTATCTGCGCGCAAGATGCTCAGCCTGAGCTGAGCTGCGGAGGTGGTCCGCGCGCTATACGTCTGCGCTTCAAGGTTGCGATTTCCGGTCGGAGCCGCCAGGAGTACACTCCACACACTGCGGCTTCGTTGCTTGAGCCGGAGCTGCCGCTGACCACGGGAGAATCGATCCCGCGACCGCGCGATTGCGAAAGCAGGCGCGCAAACCACGAGACAACTTCCAAAGATGATGGGTTCGTAACCCATGTCTTCCATCGGGGCAAGACGAATTGCATGAGAGATCTTCGGGCGCGGAACATATCCGACGATCACAGACGAGAACCAGCCCTTGGAAAACAGGTGAGCTCAGGGGAAAGATGCAAGTTTTTGATCAATGATCAGCTTTTGATCGGGCCAAGTATTCAGATTGGCGCCGTCCGCTCCTCGTGAATATCGATGTTATGCATGAAAACAGCAACATCTCCGCGGCAGCAAAGAGAGAAGGATAGAGAATTAGGGCAACAAGACCGCAACTGAGTTTTAGGCATGGCGAGGGTCCTGTCTGTGGTTTTATGAAACTCTTACAAGCATGTCGGGAAGCTTGGTTCTGGGCAGATTTACCAGCGGACATCAGGGGCTGAACAACCAGGAGGCTCCGATTTGCGAGTTACCTAGGCCGTATGAGCTAAGGAGGTTTGGATTTGCGCCGCGCTGTCCTGCCAAGAGAAAACCACGAGGGGCGAGACATTTCCAGGAGGCTCCAAGTCCCAAGTGACCTTGGCTTTCTGAGCTAAGATGTCTTCGGCCACTTGCGCTTGTTGGCCCCCCGTGAAGACGTGAAAGCTCGGCCGAACGGCCGTGATAACTCGCGCGGGCGCGGGAAACTGAAGGGCCGCTACTACTCCGTGAAAAATCCGTGACAACTCGTGAAATTTCACGCTCTGAGTTATCTTGTCCTCACGACACCAGCTGAGCTTGTTAGGTCCGCTGAGCCCGTTCGGACCGCTGAGCCCCCCTGCTCTTCCTCTTCGTCTTGGCTCGCTTTGCTTTTTCTTTACAAGAACTTACATGTGTTTAGACACGTGCCAAAAAGTGTGGTTTTACCTGCATCGCGGAAGTTCGCGGAAGGTTCGCGGAAGGGCGAGGCGGAAGACCGTTTTTGCAACAAGGAAGATGGTGTAAATTCTCATGTATATATGTGTGTTATGTTACTGTAGTTTATGCTATGTTGAGGTATGTTATGTTATGTTATGTTATGTCATGTGTGTAGTGTTGTGTATGTTTTGTATTGTAATACATTTTAATGTAATGTAATGTGATGTATGCATATGTGTATGTTATGTATGTTATGTATGCTATGTACGCAAATATGTATGGTATGCATGCATGTATGTAATGTATGTATGTATGTGTGTGTATGTATGTGTGTACGTGTGTGTATGTATGTACGTACGTATGTAATGTTATGTTATGTTATGTATGTATGTATGTATGTATGTATGTATGTATGTATGTATGTATGTATGTATGTAATGTAATGTAATGTATGTAATGTATGTAATGTATGTAATGTATGTATGTATGTATGTATGTATGTATGTATGTATGTATGTATGTTATGCTATGCTATGTATGTATGTATGCATGTACGAATATGTGCGTGTATGTATGTATGTTTGTATGCATGCACGCATGTATGTGTGTGTTGATGTAATGTAATGTGTGTAACATGTGTAATGCAATGCAGACCATGCGTGTAATGTAATTTGATGTATGTATGTATGTGTATGTATGTATGTAGTGTGTAGTGTTATGTTGTATGGTAACGTAATGTAATGTAGTGTATTGTAATGTACTGTAATGTGATGTATGCGTGTATGTATGTTTTGTATGTTATGTATGTTATGTATGCGATGTACGCATGTATGTATGTTACGCATGTATGTATGTAATGTATGTATGTATGTGTGTGTATGTCTGTATGTATGTCTGTATGTATGTTATGTATGTATGTACGCATGTATGTATGTGTGTTATGTGAGTATGTATGTAATGTATGTATGTATGTAATGTATGTTTGTATGTATGTATGTATGTTATGCGATGTATGTATGTATGTATGTATGTACGTATTTTTTGTATGTAGGTAAGTAAGTATGTATGCATGTATGTTAGATGAATGCATGCATGCGTATCAGTGTGTGTATGTGTTAATGTAATGTCATGTGTGTCATATATGTAATGCAATGCAGTTCATGCGTGTGATGTAGTTGAAGTATGTACGTGTGTGTGTATGTATGTATGTATGTATGTGTTTAGTATATGTAATATATGTAATTTATGTATGCATGTATGTATTTTTGTAATGTGTGTATGTTATGTTATGTGATATGTTGTGTTATGTTATGTTATGTTATGTGGGTAGTGCTATGTATGTAGTGTATGTATGGAATGTAACGTGTCGCAGCGTATGCCCGCTGAGCCCGTTGAGCCCGTTGGGCCCGTCGGGCCCGTCGGGCCCATTGGGCTTGTTGGGCTTGTTGGGCCCGTAGGTTGTTGGGCCCAACAAGCTTAACAGGCCCAACGGGCCCAAGCCCAACGCAGGCCCAACGGGCCCAACGGGCACAGCGGCCCAAGGCCCAGCGATCCACACAACCCCAACGGGCCCAGCGGTCCCAACAGCCTGACCGGGCCCAACAAGCCCAACAGCCCATCCTGAACGCGCCACACGGGCTCAACGGGCCCAGCAGCCCAACGGGCCCAACGGGCCCAACAGGCCAACGGGCTTAACGGGCTCAACGGGCTCCTCAACGGGCTCCTCAACGGGCCCAACAGGCTACGGGCCCAACGGGCCTAGCGCGCTGGGTTATGTTATGTTATGTTATGTTTTTATGTGTGTAGTGTCATGTATGCTTTGTAATGTAATGTAATGTAATGTGATGTATGCGTGTATGTATTGTTATGTATGTTATGTATGCTACGCACGTAAGTATGTATGTTATGTATGCATGGATGCATGTATGTATGTGTGTATGTATGTGCGTATGTGTGTGTGTATGTATGTATGTTTGTATGTATGTATGTGTGTATGTATGTATGTACGTATATTTGTATGTATGTATGTGTGTGTTTTGTTGTCTTGTGTTGTCTCGTGTTGTGTTGTGGTGTGTTGTGTTGTGTATGTATGCATGTAAGTATGTAATGTATGTTTTGGTATGTGTGTATGTATGCATGTATTTATGTATGTATGTACGTATATGTGTATGTATGTTTGTATGCATGTATGTGTGTGTGTGTGTTAATGTAATGTAATGTGTATAATATATGTAACACAATGCAGTTCAGTCGTTTAATGTGTGTATGTATGTATGTGTGTGTATGTCTGTTTGTCTGTATGTATGTATGTATGTATGTTATGTTATGTATGTATGTAATGTGCAGCGTTATGTGTGTAATGTAATGTAAAGTAATGTAATGTAATGTAGTGTAATGTCGTGTATGTGTGTATGTAAGTTATGTATGTTATGTATGTATGTACGCATGTATGTATGTGTGTTATGTGAGTATGTGTGTAATGGATGTATGTATGTATGTATGTGTGTGTATGTAATTGTATGTATGTATGTATGTATGTACGTATGTATGTATGTGTGTGTGTATGTTTGTGTATGTATGTTTGTATGTTATGTAATGTAATGTAATGTTATGTTATGTATGTATGTATGTGCGTATGTATGTGTGTGTGTATGTATGTATGTATGTATGTGTGTGTATGTTTGTGTATGTATGTTTGTATGTTACGTAATGTAATGTAATGTTATGTTATGTATGTATGTATGTGCGTATGTATGTGTGTATGTATGTATGTATGTATGTATGTGTGTGTATGTGTGTGTGTATGTATGTATGTACGTATATTTGTATGTATGTATGTACGTATGTTTGTATGTATGCATGCATGCTTTCTCAGTCTGCGCACGTGTTAATGTAATGTAATGTGTGTAATAGATGTATCGCAACGCAGTTCATGCGTGTGATGTAATTTCATGTATGTTTGTGTTGGGCCCGTCGGGGCCGTTGGGACCGTTGGGCCCGTTGAGCCCGTTGGGCCCGTTGATTCCGTTGAGCCCGTTGGGCCCGTTAAGCCCGTTGGGCCTGTGGGCCCGTTGGGAGCTTGGGCCTGTTGAGTTTGTTGGGCCCATTGAGCGGGCTGGGCTTGTTGAGCCCATGGAGCGCGTTGGGCCCGTTGATTTTATTGAACCGACCGGTTTAACACCTGGGTTCTGACTGCACTAAGTGACGGGTTTTTTGCTGCACTAAGTGACCTGTTTAACACTTGGGTTCTGACTGCACTAAGTGACGGATTTTTTGCTGCACTAAGTGACCTGCTGACCGCGGAGAGTCGCCCAGGATGTGTACAGCTACAGCGCGGTGATCTCCACATGCGCGGAAGCGGCACAGTGGCAGCACGCCCTGCAGCTCGTGGCCTTCATGCAGCAAAAGGATACCCCGACGCCTTGCAATTCATAATCCCCGCCTATTTGCTTAACCTAGGTCGCTAGATGGTGATTTATGCACTGCGCTATTTCCTTTTGCGGGTGGTGGCGGAAGCCAGTTTGGATATGTTCTTGGATTTGGTTTTCAATTTCCAGCGTCAGAATTGGAAGTGACGAGCGGTGTCCCGGGATTCCCTGGCTGGAAGGAGGCCCACTGCGCGCAGTGGCAAGATTACTGGCCGAAGAGTGAGACGCACAAAGCAGACCCACCGCACTCTGTTTTTTTTACCCCGGGCTTCGTGGCTTGTCAGGAGTTGCGCCCCAGCCAACACATTTACTCGCAAGTGCTCGCGCTGCTGCTTCGGCATAGGCAAAAAGTGCTGCGGCAGAGCTCTGTTGATCCCCTCCTTGCCGCTAGCCCCTTCAGTTGTTTGTCGCAAATTAGACCCTTCGGGATTCTGTATGGAATCACAGTCACCTTGCAGATGGTTTTTCACACGCTGGAGGGTACCAGTCTATTGAGGTAATATTTTGACGGGTTCGCGCAATGCTTCAGGATCTTTGGCGGTTGACCAGGCACAACCCACACGAAAGGTGCAAGTTCACTGTCTGCCTTAGGAAAGCCTCGTCGGCCAGCCCCTGCGCTAGACTCAGCCAGTCGGCAGGCAGTGCTTGTCCTAGATCGACCTTGCCGTCTACTAAGTGTTTTGCCGCCGCTTCTGCTACTGTACTCTTGTGCGTGTGAATACGTGTGTGACGCAGATTTATAATCGGTAGTTGCAAGGTGTCCTATGGTAAGTGCTAAGCGGCATTTCCTGGAACCTTGGGCGGGCGATCAGTTGCGCGCTGAGGTTTCCTCACATCAGCTTCCGGCACGCCAGTGTCATGGTGAACTTCGGCAAGACCCCAGCAGCGGCCCCTGCATCGACTTCGCGGAGGGCCCAAGCCAGCCCAGACATGCTCTGGATGCTTGTTTTTGCGTCAAACTCGGTATATATATATATATGTCGGTAAAGTATCGTTAAGAATTGAACGTAGTACGAACTGCACGTTGGAAGCTCCCATTTTTGCCCGGGTGTGCTTACCATTTGGCCGGCGTGAACACTGAGCGGGATGGATACAGTGCTAAGAGGCTGCTCTTGAGTACTTTTCCCAGGCATGAATACAGTGCTGAGCGGGTGCGCTTGAGCGGGTGTGCTTACCATTTGGCATGGATACAGTGCTGAGCGGGGTGCGCTTGAGCGGGTGTGCTTACCATTTGACTGGTATGAATACAGTGCTGAGCGGGCGCTCTTGAGTGGGTGTGCTTACCATTTGCTTGGGAAACAAACGAACCCCACCCCCCCAGAAGGCGTACGGCGGAGCCCCAAGCAACTCTTAACGATACTACACATATATATAAATATAAATATGTATAAGTGCTTCAAAGAAACAACAAAGAGAACGTCAGCGGCCCAGTTCACAAAGATGCCCTTCACCTGCCGAATGGTGGCGGAAGCCGCGCCCGGAGCGCCAGTTTCACAACATTAAAGGTAGTCTTTGGCGAGCGCCCCGCAAGTTTGTTTAGGGGGCGGCTTTGTTTTCAAATGGGACACCAGTACACGGGCGATGCGGTTTGCCCAAGCGTAGTTGGTCACATCGCTGGCCCAAACTGCTCAGCAGAGTTGTTTGCGCAGAAAGGATTTTGTCAGGGTGCTGTGAACCAGTTCCAGTCAGCCTAGCGAAGCATGTGCTGCACTTGTGTGACCCACTTTCGTTCATCTGGATGTTCAGACCTTGAGCGCGTGACTAGTGAACCCCAAGTTTGTCACCTTGTTGCAGCCAATAACCCTTGCTCACAGACATGACCTGACTTAAGAGAGAGCAGCACATAGTTGGACAGGATAATGAGTCTGAGCTTTTGTATTTCCACAAACTTCTCGGCCTGTCACACGCTCACATGTTCATGAACGGCATGCAAAACATGCGCGCGTGTGATGTATGCCCGAAATCATTCGAGCTCCTTACGCAGGCTTCCCCATCTCGTGCTTGGCCCAGAACCATGATGACCAGCCCGCTTCTTTCTGTGCAAGGGCAAAATGCACCTTTTGCCAGCCTTCATATTGTTGCGCCTTGCGATTAGGACAGTCTGCGGAAGGGGACCGTTCTATTCTATTATGGCGTGTGTGTGTGTGTGCGTGTGTGTGTGTGGGTTTGTTCGTGCTTCTTTTTGCGCGTGTGCAACTCATTCCCTCAAGCGTCAATGACTGTCATGCACATCAGTGATTTTGGCCCATGGTCCTGTTTGTTGGACACTCAGAACGTACAAGTGGAGCATGCGGTCCCCTTCTTCTGGCTCAGTCATTTTTTTCAGCGCGCGAGCGTCTTAGGACCGCGCAATCCCAAGTCACTGCGCCACCCAAGGACCTGCGACCACGCGCGTCCGCCGTGGCGAATATTGATTCCAGCCACCGCGTCCCCTATCTAAGGGCTCTAGACGAAAAACTGGGAGGATTTTTTTAATAGTGGTGCTTGCACCAAGTCTGACGCCAGAGTAGTTAATTACATTGCAGGCGTGCTTGGTTCCCTGCGTTGTGTGTCTAGCTGACTTGCAGTTGGATCACAGTGTTTATAGTGTTTCAGATGTTTGACTTTGCATACATGGGCCGAAATTTTCAAGTTGCCCCCACCCAGACATGAAGCCTTTTTGTTCAATCAAGAGATGCAGGGTTATGCGCCCATTGTCACAGGCATCGGGACCGTGACGGAGGCAGGAAGCGCCGCACTCATTCGCAGGTGGTCTTGGCCCCAGGCAGAGACCTTTCCTTTCTGGAGCGAGCGTACGCAAGACGACGCCCTTTGACGGCGATGAGACCCCCGCAGCCAGAGCAGGCAGACGGAGCCAGACCCGCCTCTTGGTCACGACAAAGCTCTGTGACATCACAAAAAAAGGGAAACGTGCACATTTGGCGGGGGCTGCAGGGCCTGTCGCGATCTCAAGAGCTACACGCATGTTAGGAGAAAGTGCGCGCCGAGCCCTACCATGATTGTCCCCCTCTCCTCAGCAATCTTCAAACCAAAGTGTTCTGGAGGTCTGACTGCCAGGGCAGGCCCAGATCTGGGACAACATAATCAGCAATGCGTGCCGAGCTCATAGGCCTGAGGAACACCACCATGGCATTGTGGACGCTGCACTCCTGTCCGTCAGGCTTAAGAGCCGCGCAGGAACTTCCTGATGGGACCCACCTGGTTGGTGGCACCATCTCTCCTCCTCTCTGCCCATCACTGCAGTCTCCGTCAAACTTCGGAGAAACGAAAGAGCTTGAAACGTGTCTCGTCGTGTCTGGGAAATTCGGCTTCAGGTGGACGGATGCACGATTGCTGTAATTGACGATTGCGACGCGCCGTCGGAAAGATGACCCAAAGTTCTGTGGACCCTCCTCGGTGAAGCAACACGAGTCCGATTGGGATGTGTAGCTGCTTCTTGTTCCTCTGGTCGCTGGACTCCAGAACTCATCGAGTCTGACTCGCAGGTAGTGTGGCTTCTTCTCTCACCTTGCTGTTGCTCACGCTCATGAATGTAGATGAAGCTGGGATCTCCTGTGTTGATGTCCTTGCGCTCCACCAATATCCTTAGGAGGATCGTCCATCAAGTCAAAGTTATCATCGATCTCTCGGCACGAAGGGGGCTTCTCATCCATTCGTTCCTCAACTACAACTTCTGCTTCTTTTTCCGGATCGCTTTGTGAGATGCCACCTCCGTGTCTTTGAGATGAGTTATCTGCGTAACCGATCGCATCAGAGAACCGAGGAACCGAGCTCGTGTTTGCAAACGTGCTTCTGTTCACGGCGCGCGTCTGCGGTGTTAACGGGGTGTCATCATTCAATTTCTTGTCAAAGGTGACCTCCTGAAGCTGTCTATGACAACATCCTATAGATGGCTCATTGCTTCATCTTGCTTTCATGGAACGCTTTGTCCTACGCAAAGGCAATCGTTCTCGTCTTCTGTTGTGTGAAGAAACTTGGAAGTCTATCCAAAGTCGGCCCACGGTTTCCTTCTCGAAACCAGCCATGAGAAGATCATCGACATGAAGTGAAGGAGCTCCGTGAAGTTCACGATGCGGGGCATTGTTTCCAGAAGCAGGGGCACCCATGACATAATCAACTGCTCCTTCAGGGCAACGACGTTTGATGATTTCTTTTCGGTGATACACAAGTCGGCTCTTGTTGGTACAAGTCCGTCTGTCACGCGGACGCGGGTGCCAATGTATGACGGGTATCCCAATTGAGGAGGGTTCTGGCAAATTCTGTCTCCGCTGTTTTGAGATCCGCGCGCAAGATGCTTCCAACCCTTGTCGGCAGATTGAATTGCTAAACGGAAGCCGCTTCTCGAAGCTGCAGGGCTGCCTGTTTGTATCATCCTTCTGTCGATCTTGGGAACCCTCTGGCTTGAAGGACTGGAGTCCGACATGTGCTGGTCGGCGGACTTGGCGGTATTGGGTCAGGCGTGGGATGATCTGGCGGACTTGCGCTGTTTTTTGTGAGTGGCGCTTCTGAAAAGACTTGTGAACGGATGAACGCACAATTGCATGCCACTGTCGCGAACGCAACTCATTCCAACCGCACATGTTTGCGGGCATGACCCAAATTCTGTTCAGTTGCTCAAGGGATACGCACGCATCATCTGGTGGTGATGCGCGTGGCATATTTACACCGCACATCGTTTGCGCCGCACATATCCGGATGTTGTCGACAAAGGTCGGTCTCCGAGTCTGGCGGCTACTATTTAAGCGTCATCTCTTCAGTGCCAAGGTGCCTTGTGATAGTTTGGCGTCTTCAACAGTTTTTGATGAGCCGGGCTCTACGGTATCTTAGTGGATGAGGGCTACGGTGTCTGCAACTGTTCGGAGCTACGGTGCAAGACGCTTTTCAGATTTATTGTGGATTGGTGGAATATTGCTTGGAGAGTTTTTGGGGGTGCTGGCAAACACCGAAGGCTGCAGGAAAGCTGGGGGATACGATTTTGAGGATTTACGGCATTTTTCGACAAAATGGCTTGAGGGGTTTGGCGTGAGGCTGGGGGGTGTTTTGGGGCGCAGATGTGGCGACTTCAAGTGCTATTGATTCCCCTCATTTTGGTGCTGTTGTTATGCTGGCAGGCCGCCAAATTCAAAGAAGGGGTCGCCTTCGTGTTCAGTTCCTGGCGTCGCGCAGCCAAAGCGGAGCGCGAGCGCTGCCAAAGCAGGGGCTTTCTTAGGGGAAGCCCCGTCAACTTTCATCATGGTTGGCAAAGAGGTATCTCGCTGACGACGGCTGCGCCGTCACGCTGTTTCCCTGCGCTTGTGTTTCGCAAATGACATTTCGCATGACCGCACGCTTACGTGTGAGAGCGCTTGCGCGTGTACACCAGGCGGGGGCGCGTTTTCCCCCCAACCTCCAGCCGACGCGCCGCGACTTGCGAGCCTGCGGCCGACATGCCTGCGCACGGTTCCCGAGTCATCGGACGCCCGTGCACGACACATGCGATTTCAGGGCCAGGGGGTCTTGCAACCTCCGAGTCCAGTCAGGTTTCAGGCTTGGGCGACTTCCTTGAGGATAGGGGTCTCCGCTGGCTGGCTGAGACGCAGGGGGTTATCCAGGCCAAAGTTTGTTTAGCCACCTTAGCGCGTCGCATTTCATCAGCTGGATTTTGCGCGGTGCCAACACGGGCCAATGTTTTTGGGGGGTGGTTGGACTACCACTTTGTCAGTGCATTTTAGCTGGGGGCGGGGGCAAGGGGCCCGGCCGCGCTCAACGCAGCAAGACAAATCACCCGTCACCGAAAATCGCCCTCTAGCCGTTCGAGCAACAAAAAATAACCAAACACATTCAATCCGAGGGGTGGCCCAGATTCCTTGCCCCCATCCAGGGCCTAAGGGACCCAACCTGGATGACAATCCTGAAGGGATTAGCCCCTAAAATAGGACACGCCATCTGTGTAGTGCAGGGCCAAGGCAACAACAACCCAGCGGACCAGCTAGGGTCTTTCAAGGAAACATGGAAAAGGATAGGGCGATACTGGAACCCCAAGGCTCAAACAACGAAGTTAAACTCGGAGCTTTTCAAAAAACCAAGTATAACTTAGTCTCACGCGTTGCCGTTTCCACTTTTTGCGCGCATTCGAGCGCAGCGTGTGCAATTGCCGGAATCAGATGGAATTAGCCAGTACTGGCGCGGAGACGCTGCGGCAAAGCCAAGTCCTAGTCTTCACGGATCGCCTGCGAACGCAGGTGTTGCAAACGCGCAGGCCAGGGCTCGGGTTCATGCTTGTTGGGTCGCAACGTTTGCGGGCCGTCGAAATGCCCTGACGATGGTACGCGCACGGCCATCTTACGCGCTATACACATGTACAAGATTGCTATGAGTTTTCGGCAACTTACTTGGCTGAGCGCATGAATACAGCAGTGTTGCCTCTCAAAGCTACATTTGAGTTCTTGAAACCGCCGCGAGCAATACAAAAACAACAAGCAAGCGCCAGCGACGCTCAGCAGGCACGTTCCTGTGAGCGTGTTTGTGTTTTGCTTGCTTGCGTGCTGGTCATTTTCTGAGTTTCAAAATGAAAGCCGCCAGTTCACAGCTCAGCCGCCGTTGATTCATTGGCGTGCTTGCAGACACAAAGTATGGTTGATTGCAACGCGACCCCGGCAGCTAGTACACGGTTGGCTCAAGCTTTGGGAAGAGTGCCCCGTAGAAACAGCAAGGGCTAAATATGGCCGGCGCGAAGCTTGTTGATTTCTACCAAAACTTGGAGGCGCCAACTCGCTATAAACTGTTGTTTGTGTCTGCGAAACCCTTTTGCAAAAAAACGCGCTCTTTCGCGAAAGTTTCTTGAAACAACCAAGGGCCCCAGCCCGACTACAGCCTGCAGCCCCTGTAGCCCAAACTCACCTGGCCCATATGACTAAACAATCACTTTGGGAGGTGCTTGGGCGAAGCTGGCGTAGTTTCGGCAGAGCATTCTGGAAGGCGCAGCGGGCGCCAGACAACCCACTGTTTGTTCGGCTGAAACCTTTGGCTGAAACCTTTAGATCGAAATAGTTTGTGGCAGAAAAGTTTTAAACAAAACGAGAACGCCTGCGTGGGCGAAGTCTTTTGGTTTTGAAAAAGCATTTCGCAGGAAATTATGAAAATTGTAAGGAGCACTACTTCCCAAGTATACAGAAACTTCTTGAAGGGGTGGGGGCGAAACCTTCCGGCTCGACTTGGTTTTCGGCAGGAGCTTCTGGAAGGCCCGGGGCGGGGAAGGAGGTCCCAGCTACAAGCTGCAGCTCACGCGCCGCAGCAAGAGGCGCCAGTTTCAATCTACCAACTGCACCCTGAGTGGCTGAGGTTCTGTTGGTTCACAACTAGCTTTTGGGTAAAGACTTGGCAGGCAGCAAAAGGCACCAGCTTCGGACTGCGAGCTGCAGCCTACAAACTCGCATCCAGCTCAAGCAGAGTTTGAAAAAGGAAATTCTGCTGCCAACTACGGCCCCTTGTCCCCAAAACTCATTTGGCAGAAAATTTAACTTGCGTAGCTAGGGCCTCTTGACCTCAATTAGACCGCATGGGCCTTGCGGGGGTACCAACGTGCAGTAAATTCAGAAGAAGTCGAACATGGGGCTTCACTTGCGGCTTTCATAGCTGGCTTCACATGCTTCCCGAAAATAAACCACGCGCTCCCGTCGTGCAAGCTGCAGCTCGCAGTCCGAAGCTTGCGCCTTTTGCTGCCTGCCAAATTTTTACCCAAAAGCCAATTGTGAACCAACAGAACCTCAGCCACTCAAAGTGCAGTTGGTAGATTGAAACTGGCGCCTCTTGCTGCGGCGCGTGAGCTGCAGTTTGTAGCTGGGACCTCCTTCCCTGCCCCAGGCCTTCCAGAAATTTCTGCCGAAAACCAAGTCGATCGGTGCAGTTTGTAGTTGGGAACTGGCGCCCCTTGCTGCAACCAATGGGGTTTCAGCTTGGCAGGATGAAGGCCCAAGGCACGAATGTACTCACAACAAACGATGTATATGGGCTTTATTCACTCGGTGCTCGAAGTCTACAAAGGCCTGACCAAAAGCATTCAAAATTACTTCACGAGCATATGGCCCGAAAAAACGTGTCAAGGGTTCACGCACCTTTCATGGGAAAACTTGGCCTTTCACGCAACAACTTGGCCTTTCACGCACCTTTCACGCACCACCCCTCGCAACTGCCCATGTCAGCAATCTAAGTTTGGCCCCCTACCAAATGGTAGGATTAAAGGCGTTTTGTCTTGGACCGGCTTGTTCTAGCAAGATATTTTTTCAACAGGACCAGTTTGCTTGGCGAGGCATTTTGAAAATTTGGCCGACTTCTCCAGGCATGTTTTTCGTCATGAAGCTGTTTGCCTTTGCAAGGAGTTTGACTGAGCCTAGTTTTTGGGCAAGAGGTGTTGGTAGGGATCCAAAGTTCAGAATCCCGAGCCCCAACAGCAAGGTTGCCGACCGCATCAACGAATAACAGGCAGAGAAACATCAAGCAAAATACGTGCCCTAGTAAAAGAATCCCGCTGCGCGAAAATCAGCAGCCCGACCACGAAGGCCAGTGACAGGCCCTGAAAAACTCCAACTGCTACCAAAAAAGGAAACCAAGAAGCTCTACTAAAAAACACTTAACGAAAAGCAGCAGCCCGACCAAGCAGGCCAGTGACAGGCCCTGAAACAAATCCAGCTTCACAAAAAACTAAAGCCACAAACAAGCAAGTTTGAAGCTCTACTAAAAAATGCTTCACGAAAAGCCCAGTGACAGGCCCAGAAAAACATATTCACCAAAAAAAGCAGCTGCACAGAACAAGCAAATTTAAAGCTCTACTGAAAAACCCACTTCACAAAGATCAGCCCGTCCAAGCAGGCCAGTGACAGGCCTTGAAAAAATCGATCTTCACAGAAAAGGCAGCCATAGAGCCTGTACTTGACAAAACACTTCACGAATAGCGACAGCCCGACATAGCCCGGCCAAGCAGGCCAATGACAGGTTATGAAAAAACTCAACTTCACATAAAGCAAAAGAAACCACACAAGAACAAATTTGAAGCCCTGCTGAAAATCCCCACTTCACAAAACATCAGCAGCCCGACCAAGCAGGCCAGGGACAGGCCCTGAAAAAAATCCAACTGCTACCAAAAAAGGAAGCCACACACAACAAGCAACTTAGAGGCTCTACAAAAAAAACTTCACGAAAAGCCCAGTGACAGGCCCTGAAAAAATCCATCTTCACAAAAAGCAAAGGAAGCCACACACACAAGAAGCAATTTTGAACTGAAAATCCTAACTTCACAAAGATTCAGTAGCCCGACCAAGCAGGCCGGTGACAGGCCCTGAAAAAAATCAATCTTCACCAATAAAAGGCAACCGCACACAACAAACAAATTCGAAGTTCTACTAGAAAGTCCAGCTTCACGAAAAGCAGCATCCCGACCAAGCAGGCCAGGGACGGGTCCTGAAAAAGTCCAACTGCACCAAGAAACGGGAGCCACGCACCAAGCAAATTTGAAGTCCTACTAAAAAACACGTCATCAAAAGCAGCAACCGGACCAAGCAGGCCAGTGAGAGGCCCTGAAACAAATCCAACTGCGCAAGAAAAGGCGGAAATCGAATTGTTTTGTTTTTTGTCGGTACATGCGGGACACTGGTCGGAGTAGTGGGTGTGAAACGCAGGACACTGAGCGGGACATGCGGAACATTAAGCAAAACACAAGAATATACACAGAAGAGCAAACAGATAGAAAAAGCAGGACACAGACGAAAATACAAACAGAAAAGAAAACATGTTTTACAAGACATGTGAGAAATACTTGTTAAGAAGTAGCTCCCTCCATAGCAACTGCTGAGTGTGCTGTATGTACGGCGGGACTTTTTACACATAACTGAGATACATGTAGCTTAAACCCCTGATAAACGGACTTATAGCAAACATATTATCTCCTATTTCCAGGCTATCTGTTGAGCAAGACGCTTGCTTACCGGTCAAGTCTTGGGGTCTAGTTAAACTTGGTCGTCGCGTCTTAGGGAAAACCACCCAGAGGCAACATAATGTAGATGGACGAAACCCGTGCAACACTGTGGATGGACGAAATCTTGCACCACTTTGAAGCCATGGCTGAAGCCATTGCTTGCTGGTAGTTGTAGGGGAATCACATCATTCCAGGGTTTTCACGAAAACCTTTCGGGCCCGTGACTAATAATGGACCGGGGAAACCGTGAAGTACTTTGCTCCTCAAACCCCAACCAAGTCGGCAAAACCAAAAAAGCCCTGTGAAAGCCCTGTCTCGGCTGCGAGCAGACAAGGGCAATCAGGATACCAGCTGAGCAAAAAACGATAATAGGTAGGGCTAATGGTCCACGAAGTGCATTTATCTGGATAAATTGCGGTGCTCAGCCTGGCCTTTCTGTTTTCCCTGGGGTGTGGGTGTCCGCATGTTAGTAGGGTGCCGGCGCTAGCCAAACCCTGGACTGCGTTTTATCAACCAACATAATGGGGTCCCCGCGCATTTTAGCCGGATGAAGTGCGGAGCCAACCCTGAACACAAGTACAGACCCCTATCTTGAAGAACGCTTGCCGTTGTTTTGACGATCTGAGAAAATCCGGCCGTGAACTCGAAAATTGGACATTTGTTGGTGAGATATGTGGACTTGGCGTCCTTATCTAAGACAAACGTGTTTGCGTTTACCTCCTCAAACACAGGGCGCAGAGGCCGCGATCCAGACGGTTCCATGTTGACCCGCAATCACGCAGCATTGGGTCAGGGTCAACAGTTCGGAGGACAAGTGCGAAGTCATGCTGCCCGTGGCCTTCCCGGATGAAGGCCGCAGGAGACAGAAGCTTTGCCTGAGCTGTTTGCGGCCACTCAAGTGATTCGTTCCTTGTTTGATTGGCACGCCTTTGCGGACACATCCTTTTGAGAGCTTCTTGGCGGGGATGCTCGCAGCGTATTTGTGGAACCGCTCATAGACGACTCGCAAATGTCCGTGCAACAGCAACAGCGGCGGCGGCAACAACCACAGCAACAGCCACGCCGACGACAGCAACGCCACCGCAACCGCCGCCAACAAAAACCGCAAGGAGAAGAATTGCAAGAACAACAAGAATAAAAGGAGCAAGAGCACCGGCAGCTTCAACAGGAACAGCCGGAGCAACATCTAAACCACCAACCGCACACCAACTAACCAATCATGCAACCAACCAACCGACCAACCGACCAACCAACCAACCAACCAACGCTCAAACAAACACACACGCAACCAATCAATCAAACAAACAAAGGCAGACACACACAAACAAACACAAGCGCAAGCAAACAAGCGAGCAAGCAAGCAAGAAAGCAGATGAACAAGCGCGCCAACAAACAAGCTGGTAGACACAAACAAACAAGCAGGCAACAGCAACAGTGGCAGCAACAATAGCAGCAGCAGACAGTGCAACAGGCGCTAAAGCAACAGCAGCAACAACAACATCAACACAGCAGTAGCAGCCGCAGCAACAGCAACAACAACAAAGAACACGGTTGTGCTTGGCATGGATGCAGCCCCGCGCGGGCTGACCTGAGCGGGTGCCCTTCCCATTTGGCAGGCGTGGACACAGCGCTGCGCCAGTTGAGCGGGTCTTCTTGCCATTGGGCAGGCGTCGCTCGAGCGGGCGTGCTTACCATTTAGCAGGCATGAACTGAGCAGGCGCTTTGGCAGGCAGGCTAGGCTGCGCGGGCGCGCTTGGAAGGCATGCATACAGCGCTGCGCGGGTGCGCTGCGCGAGCACGCTTGCACTTGTGGATGCAGTGCTACACGGGTGTGCGTACCATTGGCGTGGACATAGTGCTGCGCGCGGGCACGCTTGAGCAATATGGTGCGCTTACCATTTTGATTTGGTATGGATTCAGCGCACTTGAGCGGGTGTGCTTGCCGCTTGGAAAGTGTGCATACAGCGCTGCGTGCGCGCACTTAAGCGGCGGCGCTTTTTCGGCACGCAGGCGGAAGCAGCGCTGCGTGGTCGCAGGTGCGTTCACCATATACCAGGAATCTGCCGAGCGGGCGCGCTTGAGCAGGCGCGCTTAGCTTTTGGCAGAGCGGGTGTGCCTGAGCAGATGTGCTTACAGGGATGGGGTTTGCGTTTTGGACGCCTGGCGCGCATGAAATGCTGCGCCTGCCACACGAGACCCAGTTCTTCTCCAACCGCGTGAAATGCTGCGCTGGCCGCCGAATCAAGCGCGCTGGCGCGGCGCAGAAACGCACGACCGAGGTTTTGCTGGCGCGCGCAGTCAAAGCGGCGTTTCTTAATTCCGACACGCGCGAAACGCTGCGCCTCTGGGTGGGAGTGCGCTTGTTGTGAACCGGCTGAAGTGCGTTCGCACGGGACTGGGGCCAACAGCAGTAAGAAGAAGCGCAAGAACCAAAACCGGAACAATACAAGGAGCAACAACACAAGCACCAACCAGTCATAGTACTACTACCACCCCTACCAGCAGCACCACCACTACCAACACCACCGCTATCAGTACTGCTACTACTACTAATACTATCACTGCTACAACGACTACTACCACTACTACTACTGCTACTATTGCTCCTAGTACTACTACTACTGCTACTACTACTACGACTACTACTACTGCTACAACGACTCTTTCTCTTTGTCTTTCTTGTCTTTCTCTCTGTCTCTCTCTCTATCTCTTCCTCTTTTCTTTCTCTTTTTCTTTATCTTTCTCTTTTTTTCTTTCTCATTCTCTTTCTCTTCCTTTTTTCCTTTCCTCTTTTCTGTTGCTTTAGTTTTCTTTACCTTTCTCTCTCTATTCGCTTTTCTTTATCTTTGTAGTTCTCTTTATCTTTTCTTATATTTTTCTCTTTCTTTCTTATATTTCTCTTTCTATTCTCTTTGATCTTTCAAAAAAGTTCTCTTCATCTTTTCTTATCTCTTTTTTCGTTTTTTTTTCTGTCTCTCTTTTTCTCTGACAATTTCACTTTTGTTTTCGTTCTTGTCTCTTTCCTTTCTCTTTCTCTCTTTTTCTTTCCTCTTTCTCTCTTTCTTTTTCTACCTTGCGAAAGTGTTGCGGTCGCCACGAAAATCTGCACCCGACCTTGCCCACGAATTCTGTACGCCTGCCTGACCTTGCCAAAATTCTGCGCCTGCCAGGAAACCGACCTACGGCCGCTGGGCGCCTGATCCATCGATCTGATTCGTTGATTCGCTGATCCGTTGGCTGATCTGCTGATCCTTTGGCCCGCTGATTTGCTGATCTGTTGATCCGCTGGTTCGCTCGTCTGTTGATACTGAGCTCGCCACGCGCAGCGCGCGAAGTCGGCGCTTTTTGCGGGCAGGTCTGCCGGCGAGCAAAACTAAGAGATGGGCTATTTTGACCCAGCCTGCAGCCGAAAGCCTAGGCACGGGCAGGCTTCGAGCCTAACGTCAGTTTTGAATCCTACATCAACATCCCTAGCGTCACCTGCAAGGCTGCTTGTAAGCGAGCCTCGCAGCCTGTGAAAAACTCAAAAGGGGCCTAGACACGGGCAGGTCTCAAGCCGAAAAGAGGTTCAAGCCCTTTCCTCTTGGCGGCCAAGACTCATTTCTGTTTAGACGACACCCTTTCAGCACGTGCGTCAAGCTGTCTTACACTTCAGGCTTAGCGCGCAGACTAATTGATTCACGTTTCGAGGAAACTGGCATCAGTAGTACACTTTGAGGTTTGCTGCAAAATCCTTGTTTTATTTTTTTGCAAACCCTTAAGTTTGAGTAAAAACCATTATTCGATTTTCGGGCCTTAAAACACGTAAATCCCGAACGAACTGACCTGACCCATGAAATTTTGCACCGAGACCAAGCACAACAGGCGTCGAGACAGAGGCGGCTGACATCGACGCAGACCCGCCAAAACCCACACAGCATCATTTTTTCGCGATTTCCATTCCCCACGCACGCCCACACATGTTTTCTCGCATGCGTTCATGCTTTCTTCATCTGATCTGTGCGCAAACGATCTGCACACGCATGCGCTATCTGCTTCTACAGCCGCTTACATACCTGTCAACTAGTTTCTGTGCTACGGAAGTTTCCTAAACTTCGTTTGACCAGTACGGGCTACTACTGCTTGTACGTCTGCTAGGATCATGGTGCTTCGCAAAAGGGTTGCTTCACAGCGCGAATTCTGCTCTCCATTGCGTACTATTCCCAGATACTAGAGTAGCAGAAGTAGTAGCACTACTACTACTTCTACTACTCGCACTACTGCTACTACGACTTCTACTGCTACCAACCGTTTCTATTACTACTACTACTACCACCGCCACAACTACCGCCACCACTACCACTACTCCTACTACCACTACTAGTACTATTGCGATTACTGTTACTATTGTACTACTACTACTACTACTACTACCACTACTACTATTACCACTACTACTGCTACTACTACTACTACTACTACTACTACTACTACTACTACTACTACTACTACTACTATAGCTCTAACTACGGCCAAAACGTATGTGTTGCCCGCGACGTCCCCGAGACAGCTTGACAGGAGCGGCAAAAACGCACTTTCGAACCCCCGAACCCCACCCCACCTCCATGCTCCACACCCCCTTCACAGAGCGCGACTTTTCCTGGTTACATAGCGCTATCATCAACACAACCCTACACCTAAACCAGACAAGCCAGCCTCGGATGCGCCGGACGCCAGCTCCAGGCAAACCAACCTAAACCTTAAAAACCTTAAGCCTAAACCCCAAAAACCCTAAACCTAAGCCCTAAAAACCCGAAAAATCTAAACCCTAAAAGCCTTAAACCCAAACCCTAAGAACCCTCAACCTGCCAGCACTATCATGCAGCAACACGTATGTTTTGTGGGTTTTACTACTGCTACTACTACTACTACTGCTGCTACTACTACTACTACTACTACTACTACTACTTTAACTACTACGACGGCAACAACAACAGCAACAACAACTGGTACTACGACTGCTACTACACAGCCGAAATGGCAAAAAAGTCTCACACAAGAGTCCCGGCGCAACAATGAGAAAAGAGTAGCCATGTGCCAGGCACCTTTGAATGGCTGGACAGCTTCATCGAGAAGAATCCTCAGTACACAGAGCTCAGTGACAGGACAGGCAAGCAGCGCAGCTTTCAAGAGATGTCATTCAGCGAAAAAGGGATGCCCCTTGTGTCACGCGGCGCCACTCGTGAAAGATGGCTTTGGTTGTCAGAGCACTTTCTAGCCTCCATGGCCTCGTAGTTGCTTTGGTGGACGTATGGTGTTTTGTCGTGTTTTGCCAAAACATTCGCAGCATCACTCACTTTCACGCAGAGAAGTTTCTCAATTGGGCTAGCGCAGGGGTGTGCCTTTGCAGCTTGGGGTCGTAATCTGCAGTTTTCCTTCGACGCCTTTGATTGTCTAGGGTTTGCGTGTTGACATTTGAGTTCCGTTTGCCATATAGCTGCGCGTTTACATCTGGATGGATCTAGCCGTCATGTTGCCAAACATTGACCACGGGCAAGGCGCAGACAAACTCGCCGAGGCCTGTCCTAACCTAGGGGGTCCTGCAGGAAGGTTGGTTTCCCGTTCGTTACCCCACGAGAGTTCTCAAAGCAGAAACACACACACGCAAGATCCTTTGCGCGCTGCAGGAAGCTCATGGAGTGGGCGGTGGCAAGTGGCCTGAACCGACCCAAAGTGGGACCCAACGCCCGGAGGCCCATTGCAGACGTGGCCAGCGAAGAGGAAGAAGGTTCGGCAATAGTTGCGGAAGGCTTAATTGCTGTATGTACTTCAGGGCAGCATGTCCGACAAGCCCCCCACCCCCCCCCCGCACCTCGAGTTGCGCCATGGACATGCTGCGTTTGCAGCCTCAGCGCAACGCGTATGCTTCAGGCTTGGATGCCAAATGCTAACAGGCAGCGCAAGCCCTTCGACATATGCGCTGCGCAAAAATACGTGCTACGTCCCCACACATTCATCCACCAGCGCTTGTGTGCGCGTGCAGTTGGCTTTTGTTGCGCACGCTCGGCGCTGCACCTATGCCGGCCAGCGGGTGACAAGCGCACCCGCCCGAACGCGCAGCCTGCCAAATGACAAGAGCCCCGCTTAGCGCTACACCCAGGCCTGCCAAATTAGAAGGCTCAGCGCCGCGCGCGGGCAGGCGGGCCGCTTGCCGGTCACACCCGCTCAAGCGCACCCGCCAAATGGCAAGTAGGCGCGCCCGCTTAGCTGCGCCGGCTACTCTTCACATTTTTGCGCGTTGCGCTGGGCGTTCCATTTGAACGTGCTACTACAAGCCGGACAAAGGGGTTGCTTCGTCCACCGAGTGGACCAGGTTGAAGCTAGGTCGTCCGTTTGTTGGTGCGGATCGCACACGCGGCGTAAGACCAGGCCGTCAGAGTCCATTTCTGAACATCCAACCAGACGCTCCCACTTCTTGGCCTCCTCCGTTTTGGAAAAGCGCATCGCCCTTCCACAATGGGTGCTTTTTTCCTTGTCCACAAGTGAGATACAGCAGGGTTCTAAACTCTAAACATCATAAGATTTTTTCAAGGCCCATCCAGACGTGCGCGCGAGTCGTGCATTGACGGTCGGAAGTACAAGTGGACGAGCCAACGTACGAGAGGACATACCTCCCTATAAACTCCAACAGTGTCCCGAGCGCAAAAACCAAAGTCTGATGCCGCTCGTTGAAAGTGTGCGCTTTGGCGAGAAAATGATGCGATGCGATTTGTCGAGAAAATGACGCAAGTAAAACAAGATGATGCATTTTGCCGGTGCCTGTTGGCATGAACAGCGATGTTTGACGCGGTTTGTTGAAAATGGTGTCCTGTGTGCGCCAACGGAGCGTCTAGGTACGAGTGCACGCGCGAGTGGACGTGGGTGAGTTACTTAGGCCTTATAAGCTACGAAGGTGCTTGCTATCACGAGCACAAGAGCATGAAAGCTCACGAGTTTTCACTGCTTTCTATCGGAGTAGTGTTGGCCTTACAGTTTCACGCGCGGGTTGTCATGGCCGTTCAGCCGAGTTGTACAGCTCTGCCTAGCTATTTCGGTCTCCTGTCTGGGTATGTAGGTTTTTTTCACGGAAGCAGTTTCGCTAGCAGATTCCGTAACACTTCCCAAACACGTCCCGGATGTCAGAAATGCAAAACGCAGCCACCTGCTGAGAGTTACCGGGCAGAGCCAGCCCAGCCCCAAGCAAAAAACTTGATGCGCGGCCTGAGTTGGTTGCGGGGGCAAAACTGCCGAATTGTTCGAACGAAGTAGGCTCACACTGAGCTGGCGTGGCCATGCTTCAATGCGCCAAAGAGGCCGAAAGGTGGGCCCGGGGGAAGGTTCCTTCACAGTGACGTGCTCCCTTTTAGCAACCTTGACTCATCAAGACACAGCCGCGCTGGGCGATTGAGTCGCCAAATGTTCAAGACTGTCGTCCGATTTTTTTGTTGCTCTAAAAGGACAGTACTTCAAGAGCAGCAGGCAGTTCAAAGCACCCAAAGCAAAACCCCTCTCCTTTGGAAAGCCGGCGTGTTCTGCACCCAGTCAGGCTTTGCCGTCGAAACAGCCTTAAGTGTGAGGCCTGCTGGCCAACTGGCCAGGCGGATTGGAGGCCAATCTCATTGGTGCACCTGGGGCAAGCGCTGGCAATTGTGTGCTTCCTAGGAAGTTGTGGCCACTGCCCTCTGGTAGGCTGCCGAGATGTTAAAGCTCATTGGTTGGCACACTAAAACTAATTTTTGGGATATGACGCAGCCTACCCCGAAGATCTGAAGCAACATGGCCAACAGCCAGCATGTGCAAGTTAAGGGTCACTTGAAACCAACATGGCTGCGGAGTCAGACACGAATTTCTAGAGTCGGAGTTTTATGTTTCAAGGCCTTTACTGACATGTACACTGGAACAAGTCATGTCTTCTTCAGAGTCATCTATCACGATCGGGATCTTTGTGGACGAATGCCGGAAGCGGTCGCGAGGAAGGTGAAAACACTGTTGGAAAACCATCCAACAAGAAAAGGGAGGGGTATCTATTTTAGGATTCTTTTTGTTTTTTTGGGTGTTTGTTTTTTTCGCTTTTGGCTTTTGGGCTTCTTGGCTTCTTGGCTTCTTGGCTTCTTGGCTTCTTGGCTTCTTGGCTTCTTGGCTTCTTGGCTTTTCGGCCTCTTGGCTTCTTGGCTTCTTGGCTTTTGGCTTCTGGGCTTCTTGGCTTTTCTGCTTCTTGTTGGTTTATGCGGCTTTTGGCGTTGGCTTTTCGCATCCTCTGCATTCCCAGTTCCTCTTCGGCAAATGGGTTTTTGCTTTTGCGGGCTTTTCGCTGGTTTATGCGGCTTTTGGCGGCGTTGGCTTTCGGATCCTTTGCTTTCCCAGTTCCTCTCCGGGCGCTTTCGCTTTTGCACCCTTTCATTGGTTTTAGGATTTGGCTTCCCGCATCATCAGCATCACCAGTTTTCTCCTTATTTGATCATCACTTCTTCGAACATCATGCTGCCGCCCCCCCCCCCCCCCCCCCAACCCCCCCGCTTTTTAGATTTGTCGCAGAGCTATTTGAATCATCACTTCTGCGAACATCATGAAAGGGGGACTGCCGCCCCCCAAGCCCCCCCCCTCACTTTTTCTTGTTTGCTGGGATTGAAATGCCCTCCTATTTGAGTCATCATTTTTTGACCCCGTCAACCTCACGGATTTGATGTGCCTTGGCCAAGCGAGCAGTCAGGCACTGCCAGACAGTGCTCTGGGCGTATGTGAGCAAGCGAGGTGCTGCGTCTGGCCGCTACATCCGCTTGTCATGGCTAGTGTCCAGCACCATCTGTGGATCTTTTGAGGTCATGACATCGAAAATTGGTGTGCCAATGTCTCTGGATGAGACGAGTTGCTGTGTCTGCTTGATTGGGCAATGTTGTACGTTTTTGGACTCTGCGCGGAAAAGTCGCAACAAACCACCTGAACAAATCCGCAAATCGTTCGCCCCATAGCAGGGATGACGCAGTGCAAAACGTATGTTCATGTTCTGCTCTAGGTCGCCTCATGGTCGGCAGCATGGGGCGGACAGCCGTATGCTTGAAGGTAGCCCTGCGGGCTAAGCTGTTGTAGTCTGACACTAATGCTTGTTCTCCATCAACACACTTCGGCTGAAGGTGGTTTTGATCAAAATATAACCTCTTCAGTGAGAAGTGTTGTGCCCCGCCGAGGATGGCAGAACATTGATCTGCTCACCTGCTCCTAAGAGAACTTAACAACGATCAATGAATGTCGGTTCTCCGAATGGCTCAGCTCGAAGGCCACTCATCTTACTGCGGGGCAGTGCAATTGCCACCTTCTAACCGGGACGCCCGAGCTCTCAGTCTGAATTGTTCTGCTGTGACGGCTGTCAGTCGGAGCACTGGCTGATGCTTTTTGTGGCGCTGAAGGATCTTTTGGCTCAGCGGCGTGGATTCATCTTGTCTGCTGGCTTGTCAGTGTGTAGTTGTTGCGCTGTGAGTGGTTTGTCTGAGAACTTGAAGATTGTTGTTCCTGTCCACAACTCTGTGGTCTTTGGTGAAGTTGCCTTGTCTCGTTGAACATCTGTGTGCGTTTGCAATTGGACAAGTTGTGCTTGTGCAAACAGTGCTCTCCTCTTGGGCACACGTGGAACTCCTTGGCTGCATGGTCAATTATCCAGTGGTCATTGTTGGTGTGTTCAATGGTCTCTGCTGTTTCTGCCGCCGGTGTTGATGTGGGAACCGACGGTTCCTCCGGAAAGCGGTGGCTAGCAGTGTTGGATGTGCGAGCGGTTTGATCTTGTCGTCGTCGACTGCCTCGGTTGCTGCTCTAAAGCCGTGTTGTTTACAAAAGGCTGTCAAGCGTTGCATGGCCGCCGCTGGACGCCTTGCGTGTCACATTGAGGAGTGTGCCCAACCGTCGTGTAAAGGTTCCGTGCCTGGCCAACACTGAGCAAAATTGGAACTTGTCCTCTCAAATAGTCCTCTACTGCGGTCGTTACATCTCTGCGCGAGAACAGAATTCGCACCTTGCAGCGGCCCTGCGTCCTCTTGCAGGGTGACTGCGGCTGTAACAAACTAGGACGTGGTCCCAAGTATGGCTTTCTAGCTGGCTTTGCTGCACCCGTGCCGGCAAGATGACGAGCGCCCCGCTCGATTGTGCCCCCTCAGCGCTGCACCCACACCTGCCAAGTTAGCAGCACGCGCGCCCAGCGCCCACTCAGCGCTGCGCACACAGCTTTTCAGAAGGGGATGACACCCGCTTGTGAACCTGGTCAAATAATTGCCTTCTTTGGGGGGGAGATGCCAGCTGCGTAATCCAACGCTCAAGCGCTGTCAAGCATGTTCATTTTGCAACAGACAAATGCGAGGTCTTTTTTTGGACAAGGCTCGCATTTTACCTCCTTGGCCCCCTGTTCTGTTTTTAAGAGGGCGCGTTTCTTTGTTCTCAGAATGGTCACACACACACACCTGCCCCATGAACGGGGAAGCTCATTGCTCAGAGTCCAAGCGTCACAAGAAAAACCAACTAGAAGAACTGTGACGAAGAACCGTGTCAAAACACATATTTCGTCACAGTTCTCCTCTTATCAGCTGGATTGAAGAAGCATGTTTGCTCACTTGGCAATTCGCGCGCGTGTGCGACTGTACGCGCGCGCCAACCAGGGCCCCGGCCAGCTCACTTATGTGCGCCGCAATGTGTGTGTGTGCACACGCGAGAGACAACGTGTGCTTGGATGGGCGGCCTACTTGCTACGTAATTGGCGAACTTAGGCGGTTTGCTAAGCCAAGTGCAAATTGCCTAACTTGAGTTAGTAAGTCCGCTAAGTCTGACTTTGCGGACTTACAACCTGGCTAAGTCCACTTGGCGAGTAAGAGGACTTAGCTAAGCAGATGCTGATCAGTTCTAAGTGTTTCTCAAGTCCTCTAACTCGCCA